AATTGGAAAGAATCCAATTAAAATTTTGTAAACGTTTGCTTAATGTTAAAGCGAGTACTTGTTCTGCTGCAATATATGGTGAGTTGGGGCGTTATTCGCTGTATGCCACTTGTTACGGAAGAATTGTCAAGTTTTGGTGTAAGTTGAAAAACACTGATAATATTGTTTTAAAAACTATGTATGAAGATGGTTTATTTGATTGTAATAAAGGACACCGCAATTTCAAATGTTAAAAAGCTACTCTGTAATTATGGTTTTGCTGAAATTTTTAATGAAAATTGCGTTGATGCAAAAGTGTTCCCTATGCATTAGTTATGAAAGTTATCTTGATATTCTGCCTCGTAAATATAGATATTATTTTTGTAGATTAATATTATCTGTACATCCTTTAAGAATACAGATTGGGAGATACAATAGGAGTAATACACCTCGTGATCAGCGATATTGTTTATGTTGCAAAACATTTGACATAGAAGATGAATATCATTTTATATGTGTATGCCTTTGTTTTAATAGTCTTCGAATGCAGTATCTTAAAAAATGTTATTATGTTAGACCATCTGTGTTTAAATTTATAGATCTACTTTCAACGCAAAATAAAACTATTTTAATTAAGTTATCAAAATATATCCAAGAATCTTTATCGTTGAGAAACACAATCATTAACTCTTAACATAATTGAATTGTTATTATCATCTTGCATAAAGTTTGTCCTCTTTAATCATTGTTTATTTATCTAAAAATGTTTATAATTTGTATGTTTATTTAAAAATGTTTATAATTTGTATGTTTTCACATGCCATGTGACTATGTTTGATCATTTTTTTTGTTAACAAGACGGTGTACATATGTATAAGTTTGTAAATAAAATTCTGTTCTGTTCTGTTCTGGTGTCGAAGCAGTGGCTATGAGGGATATGTGTATTTACTACTTTTACGTATTAATCAGAACTCAACAACGAAAAACGGGCCACTGGCGCCGAGTTCTCGCGGGAGTTCTACTTGGGCTAGCGTTATGAGACTTACATTTCGGAACATCGCTTGATTCACACTTGTACACAATCAAATCCGCAACGGAATCAGACGGATGGTCTGGAAGCAATGGCTGTTGGCGCACCGTGTTTTTACAAAATTTAGCGTAATTCATTGGGTATTAATACAAGTCGCTACTCTGGTAAATACCATGGAAAAGGAAGCTGAAAATTTATAAAAATCTTTTGAACTATCAGAAAGTAACGCAAATAAATATGAAACTGTCTTAACAAAATTGGTCGAACATTTTAATCCAAAGAAAAATATAATTCACGAACGAGCAAAATTCCATAAGAGAAACCAAATGCCTTGTGAAACAGTAGAAAACATATCATATTACACAACATAGTGTTAAGAGAACGGGCCCTGCTGTCAACATAGCGTTGACATTCAAAGAAAAAATGGTAATTACTTTGCACTATGCCACATTGACAAAGCGGAGATGGAGAAATATTTTTCTTAAATAGATGCTGATTTAGAGAACTACATTCAGACCACTATTAATTTCGCTGTATATTCTATATTAACATTAAACCCTGTGGCAATTTTACTATCTCTCCAATCAAATCAAATTCACTTTTGCTTACAGTATCATCCAAGATAAATAATTTCAGCTATAGCAAACTAGGGGTCATGCGGCATTTTTTTCAAAGCATTTCAGTTCAAAACACATTAATTAGTCTGACAGTTTTCAGTAATCGGCCAGAACCATGTGAATTCTGTCATGTAGAAAATCCCTCAAAAATTACCTAGTCGCATACACAGGCAAGAGTATCGGACCTGGGAAGAAAAAATATGACCAGATTGATAAAAAAAACCTGTGTTCATCTTAAAAGTGTCAAAAAACCAAAAAAAAAATGTAAATAATGACCCCCTTTAAAATATACTATAAGTTAAGAGAAGGCCGGGAACTCCAGATTCGAGCCTACGAGCAAGGGATTCATTTCCCGGGCCGTTGTGAAAACAATTGGCCAGACAATCAAAAAAAAACTTTTATCACTATTTCACGTTTATATTAAGCTTCAAAATGAGACCAACCCCAAGTCTCTAGCCCTACCCGTTCATGAAATATCTATCAGGAAACGAGCGACTTCGTGCTAAAAATCCTTGGTAGACAGAATTGCGGCACAACAATTCGGTACGTAAACATAGACTAATACATGTATGTCAGCTGACTACGGGTCAAAATTACTTGAATTTACTAAATAATATTACTAAATACATTCAGTTGGACCACTCACAACCAACAGTAGCATCTAATACACATGAGATTCGAGTTTCAAACATTTACACGGTCTTTCAATCGCTTTCTACGCCATTAGGCATCTTGTGTGAAACATTGCAGTTTTCGTTGCTATTGGCCAATCAGAAGACTCGTTACAAAATATCGAACAGCTGATTGACAATGGCGTAGAAAGTAATCTAAAGACCGTGGACAGGTTTGAAATTCGAATTTTGCGTGTATCAGATGCTACCTACGGTTGTGAGTGGTCCAACTTAATGTATTTAGTAATATTATTTAGTAAATTCAAGTGATTTTGACCCATACTCAGCTGACATACATGTATTAGTCTATGTTTACGTATCGAATTGCTGTGCGCAATTCTGTCTACCAAGGATTTTTAGCACCAATTCGCTTGTTTCCTGATAGATATTTCATGAACGGGAAGGGCTAGAGACTTGGGGTTGGTCTCATTTTGAAGCCTAATATAAACATGAAATAGTGATAAAAGTTTTTTTTGATTGTCTGGCCAATTGTTTTCAAAACGGCCCGGGAAATGAATCCCTTGCTCGTAGGCTCGAATCTGGAGTTTCCGGCCTTCTCTTAACTTATAGTATATTTTAAAGGGGGTCATTATTTACATTTTTTTGGTTTTTTTGACACTTTTAAGATGAACACAGGTTTTTTTATCAATCTGGTCATATTTTTTCTTCCCAGGTCCGATACTCGTGCCTGTGGTCGCATAAAGTATGGATCAAAATTGGCATTTAACAACTACATGTATTTGAAATGAATTCTGTCAGAAAATGTCCTTAGTCTATCTCTTTCATTCAATTATTCATTTATATCTGGCATTAAACACAGGCACTCTTTTATGTGGACTTGCTTCCTTATTTTGGGCAACGAAAGGCAATGAACGAAAGGCAATCAACTGTGGACTGATTCCACTACAACAGGTTGTGTCTTATTCCGTATCGGGGTGAGTTCTATCAAAAATTTTCAATCCTACTACGGGTACGTTATGATACCGAAATCAACTTGATTTAGGTAACTTTTCCGAAATCAACTTTTCATTACCGAAATCAACACATAAAAACGGCCCAAGATAAAATATGTTGCTTATTTTTGTACATAAATAACAGAAATTGACTTCCAGTGAAAAAATCTATGAAAAATATTTTATTTAAATGATGTTATTGACATAAAAACATTATTCGAATTACTTCCCTTGTCAGATACTAACCGAAATCTGTTTAGCATTACCGATTCATTAAGTACGTTAAAATTATATAATATCTAATAATGTTTTTCAAATCTTTGGATATAGATTAATGAATACAACTTATAAGTTAAATATATTGGGAAAATATTTTGTTTTGATGATGGTATTGACAAAGTATATTATTTGATTTACCTTTCTTGTTTGACACATCGAATACACACTATGTAGTGTATAACTCTTATGAATGAATGAATGAATGAATGAATGAATGAATGAATGAATGAATGAATGAATGAATATTAAGTTAATTTAAACAAGTAACATTTTTTGTTTAAATACTAAAAATGCTATTTTAAATTAATAAGCAATTAAATAGATTATGTAATATATATCTATTCAGATTTGTTTCTCCTTTTGGACATTGTTTTTTAAAAAAAAAATCATTTTGATGCTATTAACGTTTGAACAATGTTTAATGCAAATGAAATCTATTGTCATTGTTATGGCCACACAGTTACTTTTAGAACATTAATTATGATATACTGTATACACATGTATTTGATTTTACTTATATGAAATCGTGAGTTTTAGCGAATGCAAATTAAAAAACTCTATTTAAATATTTTTCTTAGATCTTTTCAATTATATATCATTTATTTATCACATGAATTTATTATTAAAAAGCTAATAAAAAAGTCTTCAATGAGGCATATTTTATATTTATACAATAGCTTTTCCAAAATTATTCTTGTGTCAGTATCGATAAGATCATCAAAATCCTTTTTTTTTTTTCTTAGTTTTTATGTCAAATGAAATCTTCATTTAACATTAAATATCACAACAGGATTCACAAAAATTATTTAATTTTGCTTTTACACGTCGATTTCTGCATAGTAATGATCTTCCTTTGCGCTTACATTAAAAATACGAACGAGACTTGTAAAATATCAAATATAGAGTTTGAATTGAAAATGTACTTAAATTGCAGTTTGTAAACGTATATTATCAGAATTTAATAATTTGATATCAATTAAACTCTATATTTTGATATTTTAGAGGTCACTTTCGTATTTTCTATGGTAGCAAAAGGAAGATTGCTGAACTTGTATGCTGAACTTGTTTATAGAAATTATGTAAAAAATGGGGTAAATATCATCATAATGATTATTTTTGAAAATAAATGATATTGATTTCTGATAATATACGTCTACAAACTGCAATTTTAGTATAAATTTTAATTTAAACTCTATATTTAATATTTTACCAGTCACTTTCGTATTTTTCAATGAGAGCTAGCTAGCGAAAGGAAGATCTCAGCTAGAATTTGTGTATAGAAATTATGCAAATAAATGGCGATTAAATCATCATAGTGATTATTTTTGAAAAGAAATATTATGTGCTGCTAATAATATACGTCTACAAACAGAAAATTCACTGTAAAATTCTATTAAACCGGTACAATTCAAATTTTGAAAGTCACTTTCGCTCACTTTCGTCAAAAATCTCACTTTCGTATTTTAGGCATACCAGTACCGTCCTACGACCGTTCGGAATATACCGGAAAAGACAGGATTTAGACTATTCACAAACATGGCTGCCTCCATCCAAAACGTGTTTTAATCTTCTGATTTGGCAAATACTCATAGCTACTTAGAGGTAAACTTCATATTTTTCAAAAGTTCAATGACTTATAATTACAACATCCGTATGAACACTTTGAGAATCTGTCCGGAGCAAAATCCTAACCATATTATTAGTGATGGGCCGATTTATATATGGCACAAAACCACAAATTATTTTTTCACCCCCTCATGGCAAGGGATACAAAGGTTACACAAGGTGACAGTGGGATACAGTTAATTTTTACACTTAATTTTCCTAAAGTTACAAATTTCTGGTGAATAAATTATTATTCTATTATTCATTTCACAAAAATATTGGTTGTATGACCCACAAAATTAATACATGTATCAAAATTTTATGTGTTTTGGAAAAGAGAATCTGTTTTCTATGAAAACATTTTGTAACCATAAGTAACCTATGTAACCCTTGTAGCCATGTATCCTTAGCATTGGTGAAAAAGAATTGTGTTTTTAGGACATTTCTAAGCCGATTAGCTCACAGGCGTACGGCACATTTGCCATGGCAATAAAGGTCAAATTACATGTATCATAAAACAAACACCACTTGATCATCAAGAACAAAATTACTATCTAGCACCCGTTACTATATAAAATATATAAAAGGTAAGTAACTCGATGAAGCGAATTCAACCGACCTGAAACACACTGTATTGTCTACTCTAGCCATACGGCACTTTTCAAAATTGTTTGAACGTCGATAATGCATATGTTTTTTTATGTTTTAACCGAGGATTTTAACCAAATGTCATTGTGTTGGCTAAAGAAAGAATATCGATCGTCTTCATCTCCAGACGGCGATAAAAAGAGTGTTTAGTTGCAGTTGAATAAGATTAATTGAAATCGTTATTATACATTATTATTATAAGAATCCTTTTTTGTTTCAATAAGTTAAATTTTCAACACCTTTAAAAGGCTTTATAAATAAATAAAAACACCAAAACTAATTGTTGTTTGAGTCCGATAATTTTGTCAATTACTGATAGTAGAAGCTTGCCCATCATTAAGGAAAGCTATTTTGCATGTTCCCCATTCTAAAATTTAGGTTTATTGATTGTGCTTTTATGTTCAATATTTATCTATTTAAAAATACATTTATACAATTGCTATAATTAATTTGCTCATATTGTTTACAAAAATTGCTTTCACTGGTTTTTTTTCTTCAATGACAATGTTCTATTTATTTATCTATTCCACTCAAATCATGCCGTTATGAAAGAAGCTTCTCTGGGTTGAAGTTTGGCTGTTATGATTATCTATTCCATGCGGTTAATTAAAGGCACTCCACTGAGGTTTAAAAGCCTAAAAACATAACATTTGATTTTCTTACATAAATAAGCTCGGGCACTTTAAACAGGAATATATTCTAAGACAATTAAGAAATATACTTTGAAATAAATTGAAAATCGTATTTTTATGCTTTTCTTTGCCTGATTTGAGTGAAAAGCGTGGGTCATCTTTTTACAATTTGAATAATTATTCTGAAAAAACAAAGTGCGTGAATGATCTGAAATTTTGTACAAAGATAAGTGGTCTACACCTACATCAAATGGTACATTTATCTGGAAAAAATATTTTCAGTCCCATCATGTCAAATAACCTCAGTGGAGTCCCTTTAACAAAAAATGATTCAATAATTCATCTTTCATGCAAATAAAACAACAAATCATCAGCATAAAAACAACTATGTTATAACTTAAACTATTTATGATTCTATCATAAATATAACTTTACATACAGTATGTACTCTGTATAATGCGTCATGTAACTTTGACAAGATGACAACGCTTGAATTTCCTTCATATTCTTCTTTTTTCACAAAATGGCAGAGTATCTTTATTAAAGTACATATACGACAATAAATGCCTGTTCTGGCTTAAAATCCTCTTTTAAAGACACAAAATAACATGTGCATTTTCGACTTTCATACAATTTTGAAAAGTGACGTACGGCTAGACAATACTATGTGTCCTGGCTAGCCGTACTTGACTCATGTATGGCTTAAACTTTTGGCTAGCTAGCCACTTTCTTTTTTTTAATACAAGACATATGATGTTTCCATTCATAAACGTGCAAACATAGCACAATAGATATCTTTCAGTAACCGTTAAAAATATTGAGCAATCTATCTTCATTTACGATAAATGAATTATCAAACACATTTTGGCCACCTGAAATTCGAATAATTTTCAATTAAAATACCAAAATCTGAGAACGGAATTTTACAAATACTTTGTCATGTGGCAAAATAAAGGAAAAAAGGCCTGAAATTATCATAATCTCCCCATGATCATCAAGAACAAAATTACTATCCAGTACCTATGGCTATGCATTGCCATTTTTTCTGACGGGATACTTGTATTTCCAAAAGATGTGATTTACGATATGCAGATTTTGAAGAAATGCAATGCATATTGTGATCCTTACGTCATACCATACACCACTAAAGATTTTTCTTCTAAAACAAATAACTTAACAATAATAATAATAACAAGTGTTTAGCAATTAGGTCAAATGTGTAAGTGTATTTAATGTTAAGTTTGCAATTTTTGCTAACACTCCACATCCAGTTTTCTAATACAATGCCATTTCTGTTGGTTCCCAGAAACCACAATGTTCCCATACTCGTGCCTTATGATGAGGGTAGATTAACTATAGTATCCCCTTCTTCCAGATATTTTTGCAGCCAACATATTTTTCTTAAAGGGGTAAAATGATGTCGGGAGAAATGAAAGTTCAATACATGACGAATATCACATTCATCCCAACTATATCAAAGTTGTCTTTTCCCCCCAATTTGCTACATTTGTATACAAAATCATCTAAAATAGCATACAATTTTTAAGTAAGGTTAGTATTTAACAACCTTGTTTGTCTGAAATATTCCCATGAAATGGGAACTGTGTTTGTTGTACTAAAACACTAGACATTTGTTCAGCTTGCAGCACTATTTATAAGTGTTTTTTTTTTATTTTAGATAAGAAATAATAACATTCTATTGCAATAATGGAAGAGGAAAATTTCCCTAGAGGAGGTATCAAGAAGGTTGAAGGAAAGAAACACAAAAAAGAATACAGTTTGTTTCAGGTACATTTTGTACATTAATACTATTGTATTTCAACATGTTCATGACTGTACTTTTTAAAATAAGTCGTAAGAAAGTAGAAATCATAATAAAGTCAGATAAATAAACTATAAATTTTAAGTTTTTTATTTAAAAATAAAGCATATAAGGATTGAGAAGTGTATTTGCTGATACAGGTGATTATATCACTGGTATCCAACTGACAAATCTTTTTTTATATATGCATAATAATAAATAATCTGCATATATGTATAATGAACTATTAAAATTAATTTATTAAGTGAAATAGTATATGTACATGCATCACCATATTCACAACTGACATATGCAACAATTTATTAACTTGTTAGCTGTCTAAAATATCAGATTAGATTGTAGCTATTGTACTCTGTAAGAAAAAAAATACTTTCATCCCCTTAGAACCTGAAAAAAAACTTTTGGGTATCATATGGGCAAATTTGTTAGGTAGGTAGGGAAGGGGAAACCAATTATATTTTATTTTAGGCCTAGGGGCTCTGAAAGCTATATTTTTTGGAGTTATGCCCTTTATAGTATAGAATTTTTGTCAAATTTGTTTATTAGACAGTTGACTAAGACAGCAATATAGCACATTGAGAGCCAGTGTTATACATGTATCCTTTATGAAACTGTAAATATTATAGAGCCCACCAGATGATGTAGAGAAAAAAAAAGCATCTAAAAGAAAGAGGAAAGGAGGGAAGAATGATGCTGGGCCAGAAGTTAAGAAAAAGCACAAAATGGAAGGACAAGTGTCTGGTCAGGTGGGACAAGAGCAGCCACAGCACCTCACTAAAAAGGTATTCATGTGTTTGTGTGTGTTGATGAAAGTGTCAAATTTGTGAATGGTGCTGGCTAGAAAAGTAGAGAAAGGGGCCATTGGCCTGGCATTTATGAAACAAAAGAAAATAACAATAGAAATGGCCCTTGGTATCTGTGAATCATTCCATGAGGTTGTTATGTGGCTATTTTCATTTGTGTTGCTAAAATAACTATAAAGTAGCCACATATAAGTACTGTCTCGTTTAGAATGTCTATCCATCTGTGTGTATGTTAGGACTACACCTCAAAAAGAGCTGAAACTTTACAGGAATGATAAATACCTTGAGTCTAGTTAGTATAGTTTGGTATATCATCACCATTTTTCCATTAAGTGATTTTTGTTAAGATTTATAGCCTGAATGATTTATATTTTTTTCAAGTTTGTCGATACTCGTATACTACTGACTGATTTTAATAAAATATTGACAGATCGCTACCTCAAGCAATGTACTTGGGCATATTTAATGCTGTTTTATTTTTGATTGAATAATTTTTTTGTAACAGTCCAATCATGCAATATTAGCTATCATTAGGGAAAACATGTAATCACTGATAACCCTTGTTCATACATACACATGTATCCAGTCATTGTTTACAAAATAAGTTTTATTTTCTATTATCTTAGTGATCATGAACCAAATTTTCGTATTTCAAGTGATTTTCATGATTTAACTGTAACAAAACAATATGAATTTGCCTATAATATATAGAATATGTGGATTGGGAGATACAATAAAATCCTCCCTGTCAGCAATCCATTCTAGAGATGAACGTCATATATCAGAACAACACCTCATTTAAAAAATATCACTAATCAAGACCTTGGCCAACTTGAGTACATGTATTATGACAGGGTGCCACTCACCAGTGTAGTTGATACTGCCAGTAATTAATATACAGTAGAACTTCTATGAGTCGAACTTCGATTAGTCGATTTTCTCGATGTGTCGAAGAAAAATGAAAGTCCCGATTTTTCCCCCTATATATTCCTTATAAAGACTTATATATGAGTCGAGATTTTATGTGTCGAATATTTCGATGTGTCGATGTTTTTTTAGGTCCGTATAAAGTAAATCTAGTGCAATTTAACACAAATAAGTCGAAGTCTTTCGATTATTTTGACACCTTCGATCTCGAGACATTTTTCACACCTTATCTGGCTGCGAAGACGATTTCCAATCAACTTGTGTGACAGGTGTCAACAACACATCCGTGTGTTCAAACAGCCTTTGTTTGCGATAAAATGTGTGATAAAATGCTTTAATCGTTACTATTTTAATTGCCGTAGTGGTATTTAAAAGTAAACAGTAAGAACTACTTTCATTTGAAAACATCCATGACCCGGTGTTGCGTGAGAATAACACGCGAAATATTTACTATATGCCGGTTTAGTTATCGCCCTTTCTGACTGTTTCGCCTTTTGTAACTCTATTGTATACGTCAACGGGTAGTCAAAATAATAAGCCGTGAAAAACGTTATCTATCATGCTATATTTATCATAATTAAATGTAAAATATCTGATTAATGATTGAAAAACATGAAAAAGGTTTCGTTATAGATCTTAAGCACTAGTCACGGGTCGAAATTTTGTCATGGAATTGAGAGCGATTCATGAGTCGAAGTCTCGATGTGTCGAAGTTTTTACCCAAGTCCCTTCAACTTCGACTTACCGAAGTTCTACTGTACAAGGTTCTAGTAATTGATACTTTAAAAGGTATAATTTGTCAAAACAAGCAATTATCATAGTATTGCAAGCAATCCATAAGTCCCCTACCGGTTAGAACCCCATCAACATTCTGATGGGCCATTGGCCATTCAATTTTACCAGTGAATGAATGACATGAATGAACTTAAATCTTTTGAGTTCTAAGTTTGTCTATATCACAGTAATGTGTTAAGTTTCCCTGCCTAGCAAGGAAATTATGTTTTACCCTATACAACCTTGTCATATTATTACGATGTGGGATTTTAAAGTAAATCCTATAAGGAATGAAGAAGTTGGAGTGAAAAATACCAATTTTTCGAAAAAAATCTTAGTTCAAGGGGGACATAATTCTGGAAATAGTCTTGCTAGAGTATTTAACCTTCTTAAAAATGTTGAGTGATAATAAGAAACATATATATGAAGTTTGAAGTAGATACATTAGGAAATAAAGAAGTTATTTAAAAAAGACAATTTTTTTTTTCATAAAAATTCTAAGTTCAAGGGAGGTAATACTGATAATTTTTGTGCTAGAGTTGTAAACATTGTCACATATGATGTGGTTGATGACCACAAACTTATATTTAAAGTTTGAAATAAACACCTTAAGAAATAAAGAACTTATAGTGAAAAAGCTGAAAATTTTAAATCAGAAATCTTGAAATTCAGGCTTTTTGTTGCCATAGCAACCAGAATTTTCAACATAGGAAGAAAAGAAAAAGATGTGCATAATCTCCAGACTGCTATCTACCCATATTTCAAGTTTCATAAAAATATTTTCAGTTCTTTTTGAGTAATCACTGGATCCAGTTTATGTGTTAAATTTGCCATATTTTCAGACTATTTGTTGCCATAGCAACCAGAATTTTCAACATAGGAAGAAAAAAAAAGACGTGCATAATCTCCATACCGCCATATATCAAGTTTTATAAAAATATTTTTAGTACTTTTTGCATTATGGCGGGATCCAGTTTTGTGGACAGACGGACTGACAGACAGACGGACGGATGGAGGGTAAACCTAAAGTCCCCTCTGGTTAAACCAGTAGGGGACTAATAAAATTAAAAATATGAGGCTGTGTGGAGGTTTGTATTGAGACATTGTATTGAAACTTACTTAGATCTTTCATATATTTACAGTTGCTGTATCCAGGAATGATGATGCTTGGATATGTTAGACAGATAAAGAACTATGCTGTCATGATTGCCCTGCCTAATGGCTTATCAGGTGTTGTACCAATAACTAACATCTCACAGGCATACTCAGAGAGTCTACAGAGATTTTCAGAAGGTCAAAATCAAAATGCAGAGGTAACTTAAAGTGTTTATGTCTGTTTATGAATCTATCTTTCAGTGAGAGGTATCCTCAGTTTGTCTTGATACCAGAAACAAGTTGTGCCGTAAAAGTAATAAAAGATATATCTAGAAAGCAGTCTTAGAGTATTTCCGTTATAAATACTGAAAAAGTGCAATCCTACTTGGGGATTGAAAATTCCACACGTCCGTTCGTATTTACGAGCATACATCAATGCAGGACGAGTACAAAATCTTTGTATTCTCATCCACCAGGACAAGTGGAAAATTGCCAATGTAATAGAAAGCTAGAATTCTTAAAATCATTTTGTTTACATTTACGATGGAAAACCGGAAACAAGTTTGTGTTTTAGGTTTTGTATAATTTGCACACTTGATAAAGCTCTGAACGTTAATTGGTTACAGGTGTGACTGGAATGACCCTGGCAATGCCCTACAAAGTGCACAATTTTATACATAATAAGCTTTGTTTCTCGTTTTGGTCGTTAAATTTATGTAAAGAAATTGATTATGAGAATTTTTAGCGGTCTTTTGCATAGAAATTACAATTTGCCATACAGACAAACCATCTTTGGTATTTTTAATTTATACTAAATAATTGCATGTGAAATTATTTTGTTCATATTTTAATACCCTGAACTAAACAATGAAAGGACTATTTGAAAGCTATGATAAAAAGCCCCATTGGGCTGATTTAATTGTGTAATATTTTCAGGGTATCTGCACATTGGCAGAGCTGTTTCAAGTTGGCATGATAGTGCCGTGCAAGTTGACAGAGTTGGAAAAATCAGCAGAGAATAATATGCTGACATTGACCATAAACCCGAAGGATGTGAATAGTGATCTTTCATCAGCCAGTCTTAGACATGGAATGGTAAATGTTTATCTTAGCAATAATTTGCTGTACATTTTATGTTATGATTTGACACAATATTATTAGTGTCTAAGATTGTAAAAATTAAGACTTTTTTATGACTTCCTAAAAGTGTCTTTTTGTTAAATGGTGCTGGTTAGCAAAGTAATTTATGCATAAAAGTTTCATGAAATCCATGATGAGGCATGATTTTCTTGTACTGTTGATAATTAAGCTTTTGGAATCATTTCTTCATTGCAAAAAAAGAACCATCCTAATTTATTCTAACAAACCTGTATGAAATATGGCGTTGGACACTAAATGATATCAATCTTTTAAGTTCAAATATTCAAAATTCAGGATGTTGTTGTGTTCCAACTTTTCTTTCTTAGTTGTGTAGAATCTAGTTTTGTGAATTCTGGAGATAATCAAGTATTCCTGTAATTATGCTGTTTAATCAGTTACTAGGTGTTACTACTAATATTGTTTATCTTCCAAAATCTGCTCAAATAGATGTGTTTGACTTAGTTTTAAACAATGTACATACATGTACGGATATAAGCAGAAATCAAGTTCACAGCTTACTAAATAATTGTTGAGAATGCAGTATGTCAAAATATTGTATTGACTTACAAAAGGCATATTTGAAGAAAGAACAAGAGCTATTGGTTTGATGTGATTATCTTCAATATATCTCTTGTCCTGTTATTTGACAGTGTGTATATGGAAGTATATATCTTGTCCTGTTATTTGACAGTGTGTATATGGAAGTATATATCTTGTCCTGTTATTTGACAGTGTGTATATGGAAGTATATATCTTGTCCTGTTATTTGACAGTGTGTATATGGAAGTATATCAAGTGAAGAAGACCATGGATATATAGTTGATATTGGTGTGAAAGGCGTGCAGGCGTTCCTGAAGAAGAAATATGCAGCTAGATATATACAACTCTATAATAATGGTATGCTATCTTTTACTTGGATTTGTTGAAAGTATTTTGGTAAGTGGTAAACATTACATCTGTAAGATTGCTTAAAGTAGGGTTCATGTTATTTTGCTAGATATGCCTTCAAAAAAAGCTCATGTTATTATAATCCCCTGCCAATGGAATCAGAAGGAGGATATTGATTTGCCATTGTCCTTTTGTCTCTCCATATTAGAACATAAATTGAGCCACGTCATGACAAAATCAATGTTATGCATTTGCGACCAGCATGGATCCAAACCAGCCTGCGCATCCGCGCAGTCTGATCAGGATCCATGCTGTTCGCTATCAGTTTCTCTACTTGTTATAGGGTTTGTAAGCGAACAGCATGGATCCTGATCAGACTGCGCAGATGCACAAGCTGGTCTGGATCCATGCTGGTCGCAAACGCATTATGTTGGTTTTGTCGTGGCGCGGCTCAAATGAAATGGTGTTAATGTTTAAACTGAGCATTTTCTAATAAGATAAATTAAGTCAAATTTACAATTGAAAAGACAACATTCAATGCAGATTAGGAAGTGTTACTAAAAAGTTGGTTTGAAACATTTTTAGCTCACCTGTCACAAAGTGACAGGGTGAGCTTTTGTGATCGCTTTTCGTCTGGCGTCCGTCTGTCGTCCGTCTGTAAACTTTTACTTTAAATGACATCTCCTCAAAAACCACTAAGCCAATTTCATCCAAACTTCACAGGAATGTTCCTTTGGTGGTCACCTTTAAAAATTGTTAAAAGAATTTAATTCCATGCAGAGCTCTGGTTGCCATGGCAACCTAAAGAAAAAACTTTAAATATCTTCTTTTAAAAAACCCTAAGAGCTAGAGCTTAGATATTTGGCATGAAACAGCTTCTAATGAGTGGTGTCTACCAAGTTTGTTCAAATAAAAGCCCTAGGGTCAAAATTGGCCCCGCCCCAGGAGGTCTTTGATTTTCCCTATATGCATATAGTAAAAACTTAAAAAATCTTCTTTTAAAGAACCCAAAGAGCTAAAGCTAAGATATTTAGCATGAAACATCATCTAATGAGTGTCTACCAAGTTTGTTCAAATAAAGCCCTGGGGTCAAAATTGCCCCCGCCCCGAGGGGTCATTGATTTTCCCTATATGCATATAGTAAAAACTTAAAAAATCTTCTTTTAAAGAACTCAAGGAGCTCAGAGCTAAGATATTTAGCATGAAACATGTTCTAATTGGTGTCTACCAAGTTTGTTAAAAAAAAGCCCTGGGGTCAAAATTGCCCCCGCCCCGGGGGTCATTAATTTTCCTTATATGTATATAGCAAAAACTTAAAAAATCTTCTTTGAAAAAACCCAAATAGCTGGAGTTTAGATATTAAGCATGAAACATCTTCTAGTGAGTGTCTACAAAGTTTGTTCAAATAAAAGCCCTGGAGTCGAAATTGGTCCCACCCTGGGTGTTATTGATTTTCCTTATATTTGTATAGCAAAAACTTAAAAATCTTCTTTGAAAAAACCCAAATAGCTAGAGTTTAGATATTAAGCATGAAACATCTTCTAGTAATTGTCTACAAAGTTGTTCAAATAAAAGCCCTGGGATCAAAATTGGCCCCGCCCCAGGGGTGTCTTTGGTTTTAACTATATGTGTATAGTAAAAACTTAAAAAATCTTCTTTTAAAAAAACCCAATGAGCTAGAGCTTAGATGTTAAGCATGAAACATCTTCTTATAGGTGTCTACCAAGTTTGTTCAAATAAAAGCCCTTGGGTTAAAATTGGCCCTGCCGGGGGGGAGAAGGAGGGGTGGGGTGTAGATCGTTGTTTTTCATTATATGTGTGTAGTAAAAACTTAACATCGTGAAACATCTTCTAATGGGTGTCTTCCAAGTTTTTTTCAAATAAAAGCCCTGGGGTTTAAACTGGCCCCACTCCGGGTGCCTTTATACAGGTGAGCGACCTCAGGGCCATCATGGCCCTCTTGCTTAATTGATTTGATTGATCAGGATTTGCATTTCTATCTTGAGGCAATAGAATGTGCTTACTAAAACAGCCAATTTTGTCAAAGGTCAAGGGGATATTCTTATCTACAGGCTGATAATGCAACAAATTTTAAAAGCATATTAACCAATGATATGAATTGCCAATCTGTAAGTTATAATGAATTGCCAATCTGTAAGTTATAATAACCCTGGTAATATAATATACTTGTAGATAATGCACTACATGTAGGCCAGTATTTGATGTGTAAGATTCAGCTAAAGGGAGACAGAATGTCAGTGTTGACAGGACAAAATAGAGTGATCAACGTTTCCATAGATCCACTAGAACTGAAAAATATCGAGGTACTTGTAGATCCATTCAAATTATTGTTATGTTCTGCTGCTTTGAAAACTGGGCATTTGTTTTAAAGTTGGTTTCAGATATTGTAGGTGAATTCATTTTTGTTCTTTAAACAGTGATTTAATATTGTTATCTTAGTGCAGTTATGGGTTAACTCCCTTTAGATTTAATATGAGTTACCTCGTTACTGCACTAAGGTGATGACATATTGATATTGCAATTCAGTTTTGCTTTGAAACAATAAGTGTATGTGTGTTTCAGAGTTTCTTTTAACTCATTTGTTTGAAGTGTTCATTAGTTAGATTTCTTCATGAATTGACTGCAGCTGTGTGTATAAAAAATTATATAGTCGCGATTATCCAGTAAAAATCGATGTTGAAAAAGTGCAGTATTATAAAAAAAACTTAAAACTTAAAAATTAATGACATGTAAGTGTTGCAGATAACTTTATAATATAACATTATAATTATTAAGTTCCGTACAAGTTGAAATTGTTTTCTATTATACTGTTTCATCTTAAACAATACTTTATTACTTGATAAAATATTTGGGGTTGGCAGAGTTTTATTTTTGTGGTTCTATTTTGGAGAGAGGAAACAAACAATTTATTAATGATGACCTTAAAGTTCAGAGATTTCCTTTGTTAGTTGTTTTATGCAAAAATTGTAGTATATTCATAACTTACATATTTTAAAATGTCATCTACTAATAACTTAGATATACAGACATAACCTGTTAATGTGTGATGAGGAAATATTTTGTTCTGAAATTTAAAAAATGTTTCAAACTTTTGAACTAAATTTTTAGAGTCCTGAAGACAGTGAAATTCCTTTCACATCTGTAGTACCTGGGATGAAAATGCATGCCAAAGTTGAAAAGGTAAGTCAGCTTTGATACAATCTATGAAGAAAGATATGGTGTGTATAAGATATAGCAATAAGTTATTACAGGGACCTACACAGCTGAGAGGTTTAAGGTTGGACATCTTAAAGCTACATGCCTCCAGATGAGTCCAAATATTTCAATAAAATCAAACTTGAGAAAAATGTACCAAAGATGTAAGGAAAAGTAAAAAGTTAAGATTCAAGTCATATTTTACATATTATGTGCGATTAATGACTGATATTTCAGTATTTACAACTATATTTCTATTTCGTTACTAACGCGGTAAAGACTATTTATGCATACTTTGACCACTTACTATTTGGTAATTTACGTGGTTTGTAAGTTGCATTGATAATGTGGAAATTGCTTTCTTTTGGTTAATTCACAATATTACACATTCAAATACATTTTCAAAATTTTTAATGAAAATTAGCATGAATCTGGAGGTGTGCTGCTTTAATATGACCTATACAGTGCTGATGAGACTTAAAGCTCAACTAAGCAAAAAACGCTTTGATAAAAGTTTGTTCTGATTGCATTTTAAGTCCTAAATACTCTGTAAAGGTAATATGGCCTTTTTCTATTATTACTGGTGTAGGAAGACTTGAGGTGCCTCTTTGTGCTTTATTTTGTTAACCTTTCAACCATAGAGTCCTCTTATTAAGTACAATTTAGGAAATGAATAATTTGAAAGGAAATTTTTAAGCACTTTCCTCTGTACATGTATAGGCTATAAATTGATGAACTACATATTTAAGGTTCCTTAATATCATGTGATTTCCTACTGAAAATTTGTCATTACAATATAGCTTGTATAAATAGATAGTTGAATCTGCAGGTGTGATTTCAGAAAAACCAAGATTGTGTAACAATTTTATCACATTTTATCTATTCTGAGAATGTTAACTACACTGTATTTGTACAAGTGATAGATATTATGAACTGCTGTTTTTGAAATGGATGCCTATATTATATATAAATGAACATATTTAAATTGTTTTATTCTTTTTTTCTAAGGTTGTAAAGAATGAAGGGTTGATCATACAGTTTAACAAGTTTAGAGGGCTGATACATAAATCACATCTACCACGACAACCTGACAAGTACAACCATGGTGACCAGGTACTGATATTTCTACTCAAAATAGTAACAATGGTTTCAAGTTGTAACGTCTTTCCTTAGAATGGCTTCTTTTATCAAGAAATTTATTCAATGTATTTTATACATATAAATATGTACATTTATATGCTCAAATGAACAAACGTCTTTCCTAAGAATTGTTTCTTTATCAAAAAAATAATTTAGTATTATATATATTCAATGCTCAAATGAACATTTTACAGACTGTATTACCTAAAATTCACATCTTATAAATAAATATTCTTTTAACATTATTAACCAGGTTTTCAACGAAAACTGGGTTATTGTAATGCCGAAGTCGGCGGGCGGACCGGCGGGCAGGCGACAACTTTTGGTTTCCGCTCAATAACTTGAGTTTGCTTTGGCCTATTGACACCAAACTTGGTGTGTAGGTAGCTTATATCAAGAGGCAGCTTGGGATTGCTACCCAGGTGTCTGTGATCAAGGTCACTGTTACTAAAAATAGAAATTCAGTTTCTGCTCAATAACTTGAGTTTGCTTTGGCCTATCGACACCAAACTTGGTGTATGGATAGCTTTTATCAAGAGGCAGCTTGGGATTGCTACCCAGGTGTCTGTGATCAAGGTCAAGGTCACTGTTACTAAAAATAGAAATTCAGTTTCTGCTCAATAACTTGAGTTTGCTTTGGCCTATTGACACCAAACTTGGTGTATGGATAGCTTTTATCAAGAGGCAGCTTGGGATTGCTATCCAGGTGTCTGTGATCAAGGTCAAGGTCACTGTTACTAAAAATAGCAATTCAGTTTCTGCTCAATAACTTGAGTTTGCTTTGGCCTATTGACACCAAACTTGATGAATGGGTAGCTTATATCAAGAAGCAGCTTGGGATTGCTACCCAGGTGTCTGTGATCAAGGTTAATGTATTTAGTTTTCATGTTATAACTTGAGTTTGTTTTGACCTTTTGACACCAAACTTGCTGAGTGGCAGCTTTGGATTGCCACTTAGATATCTGGGAGCAAGTTCAAGGTCATTTGCTTACAATAGAATTTTCAGCTTCTACTTAATTACTTCAGTGCACTTCGACCTATTGATTGCTGTCACATCAAAACTTAGTCGTTGAAAACCTGGTTTTCGTCGCATTGCGGCGCTTCTTGTGTCTTGCTTTAAATTATTGACCTCTCTGTGGTGTGTGCACTACACACATTAGAACATATTTTTTCATGTGACTAAATTATCTAATTAGATTTATGAAGGTCTTTGATTCTAAACAGGTTCCAACATGAACCAATATGACTCGAAACTTACTATATGTCCTTGACATTATCATGGTAACTAAAAGTATTTACGCCTATAAAAAGGTTGTATGAGTGTATCAACAGTACATGTATATAAATAACACATAGATTTGTGAGAAGTAGTTAAAATATTCTGAGAAAAATACTGTTACCCCAAACAAATACAAATACAGACTTTGTAATAAATTATTTATTATGTTTTTTATTTGTATAGATCACAGGCAGTGTATTATTTATACATCCTCTAATAAAGACAGTAACATTGACTGCATTACCACACCTTGTAGACTATGTCGGGATCCCACTAGGCATATTTGGTGAGCTCAAAGTTGGAGACACTATAGAAGAAGCCATAGTGAAGAGGACAGAAAAGAAAAGAGGTGTTTTCTTAAATCTTCAAAATGGTGTAACAGGAATAGCTACAGTAAGTTTGTCATTTATTTGGGGCGAAAAAAGTAATTTCTTGTAAAATAAGTTAATTTATATGGATTGCTGTGTTTGTTATGATTATCATGTAATTATTTGACAGATGTACAGACCCATGATTATATTATTGTGTTATTGTTTTACAGATGTACTTATGGATGTATATTTATCATCATGTTATAATTATGTTATTATTTTACAGATGTATAACCTAAGTGATGACACTGTAGAGAATTTAGGTACAACCTTTAAGAAAGATTCAGTTCACAGGTAAATATTCTTATTATCATATATTGAGTATCATATTAAAATCACTGTTTTTAGTATGGTACATCGTGTTTATTCAGATTTAGTTAGATTGTGCTTATAAATGTTGAAATTTAAATATCATTAAGTGGAACTTACTTCCAATTTATATTATTTCTGTGACTATGTGGTTAAGATCATTGATTTTAAATACCACTAGCCCCTTACTGCTGAAAGTTTGGACTTTGGCTTTTGTCATGTGAGGAAGCTTTCCAGCTGGCTTATGGGACTTTTGTGGTACTACTCAGATTTCGGTTGTGTCTGAAATAATGCACGAAGGTGCACCTGTGATCTTTCTCCACCTGTAATGCTAGAAAGTAGACACTGTTGGTTGACACCTAAACGAAAAATGTCACTTTAATACAGCCTATTAGTTATTGGAATATCTTGATTTTGTTTTGAACTTAAGAAATATTTCAATTGATGAAATACTAATTTGTTAAGTCTTTTGATATTTCGAGGATTTTCTCCCAACTTACTTAAATATACATATACTGAAAATGGTTCAAACAAATTTATTCATGATTAGATGAAAGGCAATTTTAACGTTCTTTTGTTTTGTTCTTTGACTTTGGCTGATGAAATGGATGAAAATTTTGGTGAAAATTTTATAATAAACTATGTGATATGATCATTAACAGACTATGTGTATATGTTATAGGTGTAGAGTGCTAGGATTCTGGCCTATGGAAGCTCTTGTTATTGTAACAATGAAGCAGTAAGTATACTTTATCTTTTCATTCTGTATATATATTTTGTATCAATTTTACCTAAGAATTGTTAAACAAATGTATATGAAGCTGTAATATGTTGAGGTACATGTATTTATCTTGTTTAAACACCGCAATTATGCATGTAGAAAGATAATCAGGGATGCTTTAATGATCCACAGTTATAAAGGATACATGCATTCTTTCATTTGTATATCACTTTTATTGTATGAACTATATAAAGTCACATACATTAGAAGTGTGCTGTTTTTAGAGCACTTATTTTAAGTGTATGAAGTTACAACTAAGGGGTATCTGTGGCCAAGTGGTTAAGGTTGTTGACTTAAAACCACTCACTGCTGTAGATTTGAATCCCGACAGGGACAGGGACTTTGGATTCTTACATATGAGGAAGCTATCCAGTTTGCTTATGGAGCGTCAGTGGTTCTACATGGGTCCTTGCTTGTGCCTGAAATAATAAACAGAGGGGCACTTGAGCTGGAAAGTCACCATATGACCTATACTGTGTTGGTGCGACTTAAAACCCAACCAAAAAAAAGGTTAAAACTAATGTCATTTTAGATGCAGATTAAATAAACATAAAATTAAAGTTTTTTGTTCGTCAATTTTAAATCTGAGCTCAATTTTAAAAACATTCAAGTGTTTGAGATGGTTAAAAAAAATGAAATATTGTTATTTTCATTCATGGATTTGGGAGCTATGTAGACTGTATGTACATGTTTTGATATTACAGGAGTGTGTTGAATGAAAAGTATACAACTATATCAGATATACAACCAGGGGAGATTGTTGATGTAAGAATTATGATCATTTCAGTAATAAAAGATAGTGCAATTTGAACCGTGTCACGACAAAACCAACATAATGCGTTTGCGACCAGCATGGATCCAGACCAGCCTGCGCATCCGCGCAGTCTGATCAGGATCCATGCTGTTCGCTTACTAACCCTATTACAAGTAGAGAAACTGATAGCGAACAGCATGGATCCTGATCAGACTGTGCAGATGCGCAGGCTGGTCTTGATCCATGCTGGTCGCAAAACCATTATGTTGGTTTTGTCGTGACGCGGCTCAATTTATATTTTCTGACTGAATTAATTATTATTTAACATTACTATGTATTTAGTATATCTGGGGATAATTCTATATCTATATGACTATTTATTACATGTTTTTCGGTGGTTTATAGAAATATATCAGTGATATAAAACTGGTAATTTCACTGTTTGAAACAGTGAAATTACCACTTTGATAATTTCACTGTTTTGAATTTAAGCCCCTTACGTTGTTTCAGTGAAATACCAGCGTGCACAGTACTGGGTACCAACTTAATGACGTGACGTCGTAAATGACGTCACGTTGTATTATTATTTGGCGCGCTTTTCATTCAGTATTAGGTTTAATGTCTTTCAAAACGTTTCTTTGCATGTAATAAAAAGAAAATTTGTTTAGTTTAGTGTAAGATTGAAATATATTTCACCTTGTGAACACCAAAAGTTCATATTTCACTCGTGGCTGCGCCACTCGTGAAATATACCTTTTGGTGCTCACTCGGTGAAATATATTCCGATCTTACACTGAACTAAACAAATATCCTCTATATATGTGACCAAAATAGAGCCACCTCAGTTTAGTCAACTGAATATATAACATATATTTTGTTGGATCAGTGGTTTTACATGTAGACTGAAGAATCTTATGACCCAAGATTTAAGTGGAGCACATAAATGTTTGAATGACCATATGTTTCTCAATCTTTTAATGTTATTGTTTCAGCTGTGCAATTTTTCTGCAAGCAAAGATAATCTAACTTTGTTAAGTCTTATTATACATTTGTGATGTTCATGTTTGAAGATAATTTATTATCATACAGGTTAAAGTAAAGAAAATGGAGAAGAAAGGTATAAGAGTTGAACTATACAGGGGAGTTAATGGATGGATACCCAATAATCAACTGGCAGACGTAACTCTTCAACATCCTGAACACAAGTTTAAAGTTGATGATAAACTCAAGTGTAGGGTATGAGGCTTTGTCATACTTTTGTTTGTCTTCACTACTAGCAATTTATTTATTTGCACTGGATAAAGGCTCTCTATGTCATGCCACCAACACAGGGGACTACAATGGATTTAAAAGCCTCTCTTTTTATTGCTATCCTTGGTGCTGGTGTGCATGTTATAGCTTATTAAGTCTAATTTAAATGTTCATGTATATGTATTCCATACCGAAACAAAAATCTAAATTTTATCCAAATTATGTTTTAAACATTTTCTTTCATATTGGCAATTTTTTCAGTTTGCTTACTACAAAAGGTTTGTGGCTCTTCCGGTAAATTCACCTTCAACTGTAATAATAAACTATTGCAATAATGCAAAGTTTGGCTTCCCAAATTCACCTTGAATGTCATATTAAGGATTATTTTATATAAGTATTAAAAGTGTGACCAAATCATATGAAATAGAAAGAAGAATATATAAAAAAATCTGGTTAATCTGTTGATTTTTATATTTGACTATTGAGTATGCAAAGAGGGGCGAGTGTTACATTAAACTGCTATTTCTGAACATGATATTGTTGTTTCAGGTATTGAGTGTAAACAAGAAAGATTCATCTGTAATCTTGACTCACAAGAAATCGCTGTTGACCAGTAAATACCCAGTTATCTCCAGTTTTAACATGTTAGAGGTGGGACAGATACTCGAGGGGTATATCTCGGCTATTGAAAAATGTGGATGTTTTGTCAGATTCTACAATAATGTTATGGTATGTGTTTTAAACATATTGGAAAGTATTTGTTGTATTTTAAATTTCAAGAACAATGTGTTAGGTTTGCCTTTCAGCTGTCTGTTCATCCATCTGTCAGTGTATCTTGAAATCTGAACCATAGAATGATTCTTCATGGACAATGTCAATTTTGGTGTAGGTTCCAGGTTAGGGAGGCAGGCTGGTCAGACTGGACGAGTGAGCAGGCTGGCCTTACACTATACTGGTGGTAAACATTTAGTAAGGGGTAAAACAATAAAAACATTGATAAATACTGTCATGGTGACAATGGGAAGCATTGGCCTTATGGTTAAAGTGTCAGCATCTTGCCCAGGGATCATAGGTTTGAACCCTATTCCAAACATGTTTCTCCATATGACTCCAGAACTGGTTTAGTTCCAGGAAGCGAACTCAGAAGTGATTTATATCAGTTGCAAGTTATTGTGTCGCAATCAATATTTAATGAATATGTTTTAAATTGTTTACTGTCATGATGCTCTGATATCAATGAGTCTTATTGATAAAAATAATATTGTATTTTTAAGCAAGTTAGATTTCAATAAAAGCGGTGGTGTGTTTTAATAAAAATTTTGCTCATACATGTACTTGAGTTATGAGCATTACATACTTAAAATAGTATCTTTAAGTAAAAGTTGAATGCTTAAAAGAAAAAAAATAGATGATTTTAAACAGCTTAAATGGAGGGACATAGGATAACTGAATCTTTTTAAAACATTTATATTTATTATGCCTCCGCCATGTAATGGCCGGGGCATATAGTGTTACCCTGTTCCGTCATTCCGTCCTTCCGTCATTCCGTCCTTCCGTCATTCTGTCATTCCGTCATCATCAGTTTCCGTTCATTATCTTAGTAAGGGTTGCACACATTCAACTCAAATTTGACATATGGATATGTCGTGAGAAAATACAGGTCAAGTTCGAATTTGGTCATGGTTCGATGATTTTTGGCAGAGTTATGCCCCTTTTACTTTAAAATAATATGAAATTTTCAGTTTCCGTTCATTATCTCCCCAATGGTACAACACATTCAACTCAAATTTGACATATGGATATGTCGTGAGAAAATACAGGTCAAGTTCGAATTTGGTCATGGTTCGATGATTTTTGGCAGAGTTATGCCCCTTTTACTTTGAAAATAATATGAAATTTTCAGTTTCCGTTCATTATCTCCCCAACAGTACAACACATTCAACTCAAATTTGACATATGGATATGTCGTGAGAAAATACAGGTCAAGTTCGAATTTGGTCATGGTTCAATGATTTTTGGCAGAGTTATGCCCCTTTCACTTTGGAAATAATATGAAATTTTCAGTTTCCGGTCATTATCTACCCAATGGTACAACACTTTTAACTCAAACTTGACATATGGATACATCACAGGAATGCGCAAGTCAAGTTCAAAGTTGGTTATGGTTCAATGATTTTTGGCAGAGTTATGCCCCTTTCACTTTGAAAATAATATGAAATTTTCAGTTTCTGTTTATTATCTCCCCAATGGTACAACACATTCAACTCAAATTTGACATATGGATATATTTTTGGAATGCCCAGGCCAAGTTGGAATTTGGTAATGGTTCAATGATTTTTGGCAGAGTAATGCCCCTTTCACTTTGAAAATAATATGAAATTTACAGTTTCTGTTCATTATCTACCCAACTACTCAAATTTGACATATGGATATGTCAAAGGAATGGGCAGGTCAAGTTTGAATTTGGTCATGGTTCGATGACTTTTTGGCAGAGTTATGTCCCTTTCACTTTGAAAATAATATAGATACATCTTAGGAATAAGCAGTTTAAGTTTGAATTTGGTCGTGGTTCAATGATTTTGGACAAACTTATCTTTCTTGAATGTTGTAAAAATTTTGAACTTTCAGTTTCAGCACTGAAATGTATGTAGCCAATGCCCATTATTTTGGCTACAAATATGAAATTTGCTATTTTCAAAAGGTTTAGACTGAATAATTTCAGTGCCTTGAACATTGTATGAAAATGGTTTGTGTTAACATTGAAAAGTTTTAAGGGCTTTGAACTTAAAATGAAAAAAATTATTTGTGCAAACAAATTTGGAACTAAATATTATAACATCTGAAATTTTGGCTGCATGCGGGGGCATCCGTGGCATGATGACACATTTCTAGTCTTAATAGCTTTAACTAACTTAATTGTTGACCTACTTTTGGTAGTGACTTATAGTGTTTATCCAGATAAACTTGATGTTTAAATGAGTGACCTAAGACAACTTAAGACAGTTAATGGAAAATAGATTGTCAGAAATGTTCAAGTTTAGGCCTCATTGACAAAAAAGTGTTAATGGTAAATAAACTTTATAGTTTGGTAATATGTTTTCTTTAAACATGTATGATAGTCATCAATGTTAATGTTATGTTATAACATATTTCAGGGATTGGCTCCACGCTCGTTGTTGAGTTCCGAGCCTATAGAACGCCCAGAGGATGTGTTTTATAAAGGTCAAGTTGTGAGGTGTAAAGTGGTTGATGTTACACCTGCAAACAAAAAGTTTAAATTGAGTTTTGTTGTGAGTAAAGGTTTTTTTAATATACTTTGGGAAATAAATGATATTTTAGGAATTTACCTATGAAAATTAAAAGTAATTTATCATTATTAGATAAAAAGACTGTTCAAAAAGGAATAAATGTTGTGTAAGCATCTGACAAACAATAACACCCTCAAGTTGTTTATTGTCATATTTAACACACTTTACACAGCCATCATGGCTAATTTTTCACTTTATCACAGCCTGTTTAAAGCCCATGATTGTTGACTGAATCCAATCATGTGATGATGCTACCTAGCTAGCTTACAGAATGTTACAGGTGCTTATTTATCTACCAGTTTATTCATTAAAGAATGGATAATGGGGCATTATATCAATATTCAATCAGTCGGACGTATAGCAATATTATGTCTTGTAGTATTATTTAATGTCAAATAAAAAAAAACAACAAAAAACATGCTTATTAAATTGTACAATAACATGCAATCTCTTCTTTATGCTTTTCCTCATCTACAAAATTTGACTCAATTTTTCACCTGAAGATTTTATAACTGTTTGGTATACAGTTCATGAATGTATTCAATCTAGTCATATTTTTTTTTTATTAAAATTGACTTCATTTTCAATAAAAATTGTATGTACATGCAGATTTTGGAATATTATTCAATACTTTATCAAATCTTGTTTTCCAGCTTGAAGGTAAAACAGAGTTTGGCAAGAAAGGGAAGGATTTGCCAAAGGACTTTCAAATTGGCAAGGTAAATTTACTTAATAAAATCATAATTAAAAGATGATATAACTAGCACTTGCTGTTTCTATACATACATGTATTTTCTAAGTTTAAACATATTTGTCTGCCCACTTCGCTCATTAGGGAAAGCATTAGATTTGTAATCTAAGGATAGCCGGTTAAGACTTTGGACATATGAACATATACAATGAACAGGTGAGTGAAAAGTAGGTATTCTGGGGGGGGGGGGGGGAGTATTCAAGAAGAAAGACAAGGTGTTATATAGGTAATCTTAAATAAAAGTTTTCATGAAGGTTAATATGAAGATGTAAATATATTTCATATAGTAGTAGTTTTATGATTATATTGTGTTGTATTATGTACAAATAAAACATAGCAATTAAATGCCATTACCAATTGAAAGTACAATGTAATATAAAAACTTAAAATCCCAAAAAAGAATTGCATATGTTAAACACTAAAGTATGGTCTGACAGATTTATTGCATCCACGCAGTCTGATCAGGATCCATGCTGTTCGCTGTCAGTTTCTCTACTTGTTATAGGGTTTATAAGCGAACAGCATGGATCCTGATCAGATTGCATGGATGTGCAGGCTGGTCTGTATCCATGCTGGTCGTAAACGCACTATGTTGGTTTTGTCATGGCACGGCTCATTTATAGTTGTGCTATTTTGATTTACGGCAATGGAAACATTGATTTTATAACACAAGCTGGAATTTGATGCAGTGAAATTTATCATACATTGGTAACCATTTTACATGAGTTCATTATTTCTTGAGATGTTTAAATTTTCTTTTTTTATTTTCTTTTTTATATAGAAAGAGAAATGCAAAATTCTGACAAAGACTGAAGATGGGCTTGATGTTAAGCTTAGCTCCTCCCAAAAGAAGGCGTTTATTCCTAAGACACACCTATCAGACTCCATTGAACTGTGTGATGCATTATGGGACGTGTACAAACCTGGAGATGTTATAGAGAAGGCAATGTATTGGAATAAATCCAGATATGCAGTATCCTTAGATAACACAAGATGTATAATGATGTACAGTTGGAGATAATATTGATTGATATGTGATATATATGAAGGCTGACCTGGGAGTTTTTATAAGTACTAGTTTTTTGGCTGAAAACTGAAATGACCAATGTTGAAACCTTGTTTATCAGTTTAAGTAACATAATATTGTTATAAATGGAGCCATGACTGAAAATACTCATTTCCATAGAAACACACATATATCTGGAGCATGCTAAAAATATGCATTTTTCTAGAGCTTGCAGCCTTAGATTCTGAGCTCTAGAGCGTTAACATCAAATCAAATCAAAATTTCCCTGAAACAAAGTATCATTAGAACAATATGATTATGTAATATTTTCCTACAAGTTAAATGTTTTTGTGTCATTTCAAAATCAATCAATAGCTTTAAAAAACCCAAAATAATGATGTCAATACATGACATGGAAATGTGGAATGTTTCAGAAATAATATATCCCAAACTGTGATTTTATCGCTTGATAAAATCACTGTTTGGAGTTCGGATGCGAGGAATTATATGAGGGGCGTAGTCCGAGTGATAATGATGCGCATCCGAACGACAAACAGTGATTTTATCAAGCGATGAACTGTACTTATTTCAGCACGTCACATTTTTAGTGGTTACTTCACATGTATGTAATGATTATGTCACATGTCATATAGAACGTCAACAGTGATTTTATAGCATAATAACACACACTTTCTGTTCTTCTATGTTCAACAGGGAAAAATGCGGGTCGTGTTAGAATATATAATTTTGACTTTTTACTCAGAAAATCACTGACAAAGATATAGAGAATGATAAGATCACATTTCTTCTTTTCCTTGTAAAACCATTTCTGAAAGGATATTTTGATCCATTCATTTGATATTGATGAACTTGGTATAGCTTTAAACATTACAATGCTAATTATTCTTAATTCTAACACAACCCGCATTTTTCCTATAGAAGATAGAAGAACATAGAAGAACCGAAAGTGTGGGTTATTATACAATAAAATCACTGTTGACATTCTATATTTAGACATGTGAAGTAACCATTAGATATGTACTGACTGAAAAGCAAACAGATGTACTGACTGACCTAGGTTATGTAGATTCTGTAGTCAACAACAGGGTACAGATTAATGGGTTAAATTTTGCTTGTAGGTCTAAAGGATCAAATTCATTAAGACGAGATATTTAAGAAATAACATCGGCGTGAGAGGTGTATATCGGCTTTAACACCGGTTTGGAGTTTTGATGAGTAGGAATTGACCACGAAGGCCGCTGATGTTATTCCTATTCTATCACAATAAAATAAGGAAGATCACTAATGTTTTTTTTTTTCAAGCGGAAATAACTTCCACTGCCGATTTTCGTATAATGCTGTTCGATTTTCGCACCCTACTGTTGCAAAGATATAGAAATTATTAAACAAAATAAATAAATAATAAGAAAAAACGTTATTTTATCAAGTTTTCAACAATAAAAACTTACGTCGTATTGTGTTTACATCAGTGCCCCATTTATCATTCTTGTGTATGTGAAATAACGTCAGCTTGTATATGAATGAGTTGTTTACTTACGATGACGTCATTACGCTGCTTACAGATTGGCGCCGTTTTGTCAAAATATTTATTAACTGATATGGATCAAATATGTGGCATTAGTGTATGTGAGATATTATTTCGGTATTGTATGAAATGAAAACATTATAAGAACTGAAAATATAAATAAAAATGCTTTTTATTGTTGCTCTAAAAGGCTTTGTAAACTATATAATTGAGGGTGTAAACATAAAAGCCACATATATAAGTAGTCCCTAACCAGTGTTTATTGGCAGTTTAACACCGTTTTTTTCCTTCTTTGTCTATAGTGACAAAAATCACGTGGAGTGATAGAATTAGTTTTCTTCATTTCCATTTCTTTGTGTTCTTATACAGAGAAAAATGTATATAAGATGTTACAAATCTTTAACATTGAATTAGATATTGACATGTAAACCTTGCCTTCTGTCATCTGCTGAAAACAAAGATGAATTTGTGACATCATTTGCTCCACTCAAGGTAGGTTCTATTTTTATGCCCCCACAAAGTGGGAGCATATAGCGTTGCACTTGTCCGTACGTCCGTCTGTACGTCCCGAAATCTTTTGAACGCAACTCCTCTTAAACCGGATGGCAGATTTTGCTTAAACTTACAGGGATGAACAACCTTAATGTGTAGATGGTAGTTAAGGAAGGAATTTTTGCTGCGACCAAGTTTAACAGAATTATGGCCCTTTGTTGATTTTTTCACTATATACTATGTAGAAATTTTGTGAACGCAACTCCTCTAAAACCGGATGGCAGATTTTGCTTAAACTTACAGGGAAGAACAACCTTAATGTGTAGATGGTAGTAAAGGAAGGAATTTTTGCTGCGACCAAATTTAACAGAATTATGGCCCTTTGTTGATTTTTTCACTCCAGTATATAACATATAGAATTTTTGTATAGGCAACTCCTCTTAAACCGGATGGCAGATTTTGCTTAAACTTCCAGGGATGAACAACCTTAATGTGTAGATGGTAGTAAAGGAAGGAATTTTTGCTGCGACCAAATTTAACAGAATTATGGCCCTTTGTTGATTTTTTCACTACATAACATATAGAAATTTTGTGAACGCAACTCCTCTAAAACAGGATGGCAGATTTTGCTTAAACTTCCAGGGATGAACAACCTTAATGTGTAAATGGTAGTAAAGGAAGGAATTTTTGCTGCGACCAAATTTAACAAAATTATGGCCCTTTGTTGATTTTTTCACTATATACTATGTAGAAATTTTGTGAACGCAACTCCTCTTAAACCGGATGGCAGATTTTGCTTAAACTTCCAGGGATGAACAACCTTAATATGTAGATGGTAGTAAAGGAAGGAATTTTTGCTGCAACCAAATTTAACAGAATTATGGCCCTTTGTTGATTTTTATGCCCCCACAATGTGGGAGCATATAGCGTTGCACTTGTCCGTCCGTCAGTCCGTCTAGTCAGTCCGTCCCGAAATCTTGTGAACGCAACTCCTCTTAAACCGGATGGCAGATTTTGCTTAAACTTACAGGGATGAACAACCTTAATGTGTAGATGGTAGTAAAGGAAGGAATTTTCGCTGCGACCAAATTTAAAAGAATTATGGCCCTTTGTTGATTTTTTCACTAGATACTATGTAGAAATTTTGTGAACGCAACTCCTCTTAAACCGGATGGCAGATTTTGCTTAAACTTACAGAGATGAACAACCTTAAGGTGCAGGGTTCTCACTAGGACTTTAAAACATGGAGTCCATGGACTCCCAACCCTGAAAAAGTTGGAGTCCAAAAGCGCGTCGCAATTAATATGTTTACAGATCAGTCATTCAATGCTCACAATAGTATTGCTGATATTTTGAATCTTCAAGAGACTTCCAAAGTTTATAGTTATTCAAAAGAAACTTTGAACTACATAGTATAATTATTGTTTTGTTGTTAATATTTATTATGAAATTATTTCATTATAATGCATCAACACATGGAAATCGGTTTTTTTTTTTCACTTTTATACCAAATCAAATTTTATTCTGGTTAAAAAAGTCCACTCTTAAGACAAAAAGTTTGTATTTGTAAAAAAAACGTAAATGTATATAGGCAGCGTTTAGCGGAATGAGTGTGTAAGAGATTCATCCGATCGACAATTGTTTTAGCAAATATCTTCAAAAGGGGGCAAATTGAAGATCCCTATTTAAAGATTGAATGCTGATTAAATAATAAAGGAACAATTCATTCGCATGTTTGGCTTGGAAACCGAGAATTTTTGCGAAATTTTAGGGTTTCTGGCGAACGTGAAATCGCCGATGTTCGGGATCAATTTTCGTATAGAATCTAAATTTCAAAGAAAAGCGTATGTGTACCTGGCATTTCGGCACAATATTTTAAATTCTTAATACTCTTATAGAAAGTTTTTGCAAGAATGAAACTAAAGCAAAATTGTGCCTAGAAAATACCGAAAATATTCGACAATCATTATAATGCCAAAAATATTCGACAATCATTCAAAAGTACACTCATTTGTAATTTGAGAAAACAGTCTTTAAACTTGCGGCGTAAATAGTCGATAATTTTATCCTTTTGTCGGTAAAATTTGCTAAATTCCAATCAACTGTTGATCCAATATATAAAATTATCACCTCGGTTTATATCTGGTAATTACATGTACTGTACAGCGCGCGTATACATAAGTCTGATCAATTAGCGTGATAATGATCGGAAGCGTTATCGCTGATTGGCTAATCGCTTCACGGGTCGATGTGCTTAGGACCGCCTACATGTACCTATAGACTGACAAGCGCTGACGCATTTGTGTATTTGTGGTTGTAAACAATCGGTAATGTTTATGCGTCCCCAGGCAAAATTAAGCGTACGTGGAATCCTTGCTCTGAAATATTTGCGTCCAGCTGTAATAAACATGCGTACCGGGACGCCGAAATAAGCGTCCCCGAGAACCCTGAGGTGTAGATGGTAGTAAAGGAAGGAATTTTTGCTGCGACCAAATTTAACAGAATTATGGCCAGGGATGAACAACCTTAATGTGTAGATGGTAGTTAAGGAAGGAATTTTTGCTGTGACCAAATTTAACAGAATTATGGCCCTTTGTTGATTTTTAGTTTTCAACTTGTGGCACATGTGGTCCAAAAAATGTTTGACCTAGAGTCATAAGATTGACAGAACAGTGGCGTGTGGGGGCATCCGTGTCCTCTGGACACATTTCTAGTTTCATTATATACTTTGTAGAAATTTTGTGAACGCAACTCCTCTTAGACCAAATTTAATAGAATTATTGCCCTTTGTTGATTTTTAGTTTTCAACTTGTGGCACATGTAGTCCAAAAAATATTTGACCTAGAGTCATAAGATTGACAGAACAGTGGCGTGTAGGGGCATCCGTGTCCTATGGACACATTTCTAGTATTTTAAAGCTCACAGGTCAAATCAAATTTCAAACATCATAATAGTCATTACCTTATGTATTACCTTTACAGTTAAGTTGTTGTGAATTTTAAGGTCTTCTCTCTTAGCATGGAATAAAAGATACCAGCTTTAAAGATTGAACACAAATTCATTATATATACATGTACATTGTATAAAATATTGTTATATGATGTTAGATATATCTCAATTCAGTGCAAACAAACTGTTTGTTAGTACTGAAAATATTTTAGAGATATTTTCAGGTTCTGTTCTGTATTTTGCATGACAAGATATGTTTTCCTTGATTTCAATATATACACAATTTCATATTTGTTGTATAGTAAGGTCCTACAAATTGACATAGTTGAAATGATGGAGAGTAGGCATATTATGTATTTGTAATTCTTGTTATAAACTTAGTCGTACAGGTAGTGACTTTTGTTCTACCATGATGATTATAAATAAATATGTATGTACACATTTTAAGATGAAATTTCCTTATAATGGTTTGAATTTTATCACATTAATTTCATATTTAACAATTGTTATTGTGTTTTATATGATATTTCAGCCAGGGATAATGTTACCAGGGGTTGTTAAGAATATAATGCCATATGGTATCTTTGTGGAGTTTCCTGGTGGTTTATTTGGGCTGGTTCCCTTACAGGTAAGTCATATTATTTGTTAATATGTAGCTGAGTTTTTCAGCGTAAGGAAATTATTAGGAAATTATTACAGTAGGGGAAACATATAAAAGCAATACTGGTATCATCAGAAATTCCATTCATTTAATGAAATAATTTGGCAGATCTTGGTCAAGGTTGAAATTGTAGGTCAAATGTTATATGGCTGGTGTATAAGTGTCCTGTGGACACATTTCTACTTTACAAAACAATCTTTATTTATTTTTAATAGAGTTCATGCAGTTTTTAAATGTTTTATCTCTGAATATTTCTGAATCCAGAACAAGTATCTTGAAACTTAAAATGTTTATACGGATAACATGCAAGCTCAGAGTTCAAAGTTCTACAACTCTTTATTGGACTAATATCTGTACAGTGTCATCGGTCTTTTACCCATAGACAATTTCATATGTATTTTCTGCTACATGACTTCAAACTATACTTGTCATCTATTATGAAGGGGGGGGGGGGGTGAATTGTTGAATTGCATTATTCATTTATAGTCTTGATAAAATATATTCTATTTTTTATGACCAGTATGCTTTGGATGTAAAAGTACCAGATGTTAAGACATTTTACCAGCCTGGACAAACTGTTGTAGCAAAGATTATAGAGGTGAACAGTGAGAAGAAAAGGTTTCTGGCTTCACTCAGAATGCAAGATTGTTACTATGGTAACACACAAGTTGGACTTGATTTGACATGGAACTACCTTAAGGAAAGAGAAAGACTGTTTGAATCATTACAAAATTCTGAAGGTACTTTAACTATATTATTCAGATGAAATGTGTGTCAATTCTGAAACAATATACTGTTGTAAAGTTAATAATTTTGTGACATAGAATGTCAGGCAATAATAATTGCCAATTGGATTTGTTTCAGGAGGTTAAAGTTATACTCTCAATTTTAATTCAAATTGTTATTTAGAAGAAGTCCTGTTAGAATTTACAGGACGTTTGTTTGAGCTTGGGACAGTGTTAAAGTTCAAACCTATTAAAAGACTTCTTGAATATTTGGACAAGAAGCATGCAAATGTTATAGTTTGAACAATATCTACAAAAAATGTTTGGAATATACAAAATTATATGATTATCTCTTTTGTATTATAGAAAAGGGACATCTAGCATTGTCTGATATTTATTTTTATCGCTGTATTTCATGTTGTAGAAAAAGGAAATCTGGCACAAATTAAGATTGGTAGCATCCACAAAGTTACTGTAATCAAAATGACAAGAATAGGTGCTGTGTGTGAGTTAAAGAATGGTATCAAAGCTATTGTTACTAGTGACAATATAAATGAAAAGCGTAAGTGCAGTTTTTAATTGTCATATTTTTTGCTTGACCAACCTTGCCATATTTTTTCCATGCCAAGCTGTGATTTTGCATAATTTGCTAAATGGACTTTTCCATCATTTTATCTGAACAAAAACATTTATCATTTTAAGGAAAATTCTAAAATATGTTACAACTGAATAGCAAACAGTGCAGACCATGATCTGATGACAAGGATGTGAATGCTGATCTTTGTCTGAACTGGTCACAATTGGTAGATTCAGCAGCCTTAGTGTTAATAATATTTTGTGATAGTTCTTGTTATAACAGTAGTTTAAACTGTATGTATTACACTTTCTGTTCAAAATTTCAGATCAGAAATCAGGCATACAGATTTCTATGTATATAATATATAGGGGTATTTTTTAATAAGTTGTAAAGAGTGTCTGATGATGAAATCCTTTGAACTTGGCATTGTTGTTTGACATTCTGATTTGGATTTGGGATTCTTCTTGTGGAAGCCATTTATCTGATTGTAGGATCATTAATGCTTAAGGCAATGTCAACTTGTATATGAAATATTTGAAATGGATACATGTCAGAAAAATTTGGTATATATTATCTTGTAACCTTACTAACATGAAACATGTCCCAGCTAAATATATGATTTTTTTATGTTAATGGCATTCATGCTGAAGCGTGACGCCTTTTATGGAATGCATTCAGAATTTCTGAAAAGCCAATTGCAATTTTTTGGCCCTTTCCATCAGTCTTTGGCGAGGACATTCCGATTGATGGAAGGGTAGTTGTTGTTAATTGTATTTGTTTTTGTATCTACTGAAGTAGCATGTGAATAATATTGTTTACAGAGAAAGTTGGAGTGGGTAAAACATTTGACAGTGTAGTGTTGTATGTAGACTTGAAACAAAACTGTGTAGAAGTTTCTATAGATACTAAAATTGTTCCTCATGTTAAAGAAAGGATTGAAAGTGAAGACATGGAAAAGGTATAAGTTTTTTTATCATGTGTCATTATATCATTTGTTTAAAAATAATTTTAATTATTTATTTCATAAAAACAAATGTCAAATCTTATTGGTTTTATAATAGAAATGTTATTTATAAATGGTAGATTTATCAATTAATCTAGATTTTCTCAGGATACAATGATTTAAACAAAAAGCTGGAATTTATGTCTTTAATTAATTTTATTTTAAAAAAAGGGGGGAATTGAAATTTCTTCCGAGTTTGTTCTACTGCATACTGATGTTGTGTTTTTTATTTCTAGGCAAAATTAGGTGAGGTATATCAGTCGTGGGTAGTCCTGATTAAAGAGGACTTTGTCATAGTTAGACTTACAAACCAGGCCAGAGGGCAGCTGGCCTTCTTACCTGCTAAAAGGGTAAATATTCTTAACATACCTTAAGACTGCACATTTCCAAACCAAAATACAAAGTTTCCAAAATTAAATCTCATGAAATCTTATGAGTTTGATATGATAAATATTAACAATGCAATATAAATGATGATAAACTTACTTCAATGTTATGCAAGATTTTGTCTGTGACACTATTTTCACCATCCCAGTGGAACCAGGATTGTTTTCCTTATTTTATCACAGATAACATAATGTTTGTGAATTGTTTGTTTAAATCTTTATATTTGTACACATGGCAATAATTTTACTATCTTAATTTAAAAACACTATCCAAATATTCATAGGAAGTAACATAAATCTAAAAGAATGTGCATGCTTTCATGAAGAACTGCAAAATAGCATTGTAAACTCTATGCCATTAAAGTTAGCTGTGATTGTTTTGCCTTAATTACCCTAGATTTTTAGCTCGATTATTCTGCAGTCACACATTTGTTGGCGTCCCTGTGGTTAAGTTTTTTGTGTAAGCTTGTATCTCCATAACTACTGAAAGGAATGGATTAAAACTTCACACACTTGTTCCATAACTCTGATTTGCTTTTTTTGCATAATTATGCCCCATTTTGGACTAAAAAAATCTCTGTTAAGTTTTTGCGTGTAAGCTGGTATCTCCATAACTACTAAAGGGAATGGATTGAAACTTCACACATTTGTTTCCTGTGATTATCTAACATGATTGGCACAAGTCCCATAACTCTGATTTGCTTTTTTGCATAATTATGCCCCTTTTTCGACTTAGAAATTCTTGGTTAAGTTTTTGCGTGTAAGCTGGTATCTCCATTACTACTGAAGGGAATGGATTTAAACTTCACACACTTGTTCTCTGTGATTATCTTACATGATTGGCACAAGTCCCTTAACTCTGATTTGCTTTTTTGCATAATTATGCCCCTTTTTCGACTTAGAAATTCTTGGTTAAGTTTTTGCGTGTAAGCTGGTATCTCCATTACTACTGAAGGGAATGGATTTAAACTTCACACACTTGTTCTCTGTGATTATCTTACATGATTGGAACAAGTCCCTTAACTCTTCATTTGTTTTGGTTCATAATTATGCCTCTTTTTTGGCTTAGAAATTCTTGGTAAAGGTTTTGCTTGTAAGCTGGTATCTCCATAACTACTGAAGGGTTTGTGCCTTTATTGGGACAATATTATGCATTCATAATAATAAAGCAGTGATTTACTTGATAAAACATCTTAATAACAAGCCTTGTACCTTTTCGGACAATTTTATGTATTCATATAGGTAAGCATTATTATACTAGATAAACGCCCTTGTGACAACTTTTCGAATAGTCAAGCGTTACTGTCTTCCGACAGTTCTTGTTATTCATTATTACTGTTAATTGGCTTTATATTCCAATAAATGCAAGGTAAAATGTGACATCTCTTCATTTCTGAACAAATAAACCATTTTATAGGTCTAATAATTAAACATTATTTTTATAAATTTATGTTACGTAGGCAAAATCTTGTGATTATTGCATTATGAAACAGTTTTGACAAAGAACCAGTAAGTCTCAAACCAGTAGGCAACTAGGCACCTGCTATAGTTGTATCACATTTGCTACTAGAGATATAACAGTTTTATATTCTATGTTTTATTCAGCACTGGAATGATGTACTGGAGAGACATCAGTATAATGTGGGACAGAAAAACAAGGTACAGATTAAAAGGTAGGTTTTTAGTTTTCTGTATATTTCAAATTAATTTATGTCAGTTTATGTACTAATCTTTGAATAGAAATTGAAAAAACACCACATGTAATTAAAATGCTTGGTTTGTCTGTAAAGGTTGGGAGTCATATAGTACTCTTTTTAAAACAAGTCTGGAAGAAAATATTTACTTTTTCTTTTGAATAATGATATAGTCATGTAATTTGATTTATTTTATTTAATTTATTTTATTTGTTTTATTTCGTGGAATTATGATTAGGACAGAGACTGACTCGTTTCCTCAATGTAGTATTGATTTGGAGGAAATTCATATTTGAAATGTTAATAATAGGTCAGAAATATAATATATGCATTATAATGATATTTTAGGATTGAGGGAGATATGATACTGGCCTCACTAAAGGTACATGAAGATAAAGAACTAGAGGATGAAGAAAAAATATCATATATACCGACACATAAACTTCAGATTGGAGACAGATTTGATGCTACGTATGTAAACATTACTTATTTTATCTACATGTATGTGTATTGCAAATTTAAGATGTTGGTTTATGCATCCAAATATTAAAATTGAGGTTCGAAGAGAGCATACTATTGCAATTGGTGAATATGACCTTGACCTTAAAGGATTTTTTGTCCGATTATTTTTTTAATATTAACATTAAAAGTGACTGTAAAAGAAAGTTCATTATTTATTGATATGTTTGAGACAGGAGTGTTTGTATTTAAAATCATTTCAATGTATATATATATTGTTTCAGTGTTCGGAAGATGTACAAAGATCAGATTTACATCAATGTGTGTGGGACGTATGGAAGAGTGTTTGTCACGGAGATGTCTGATGAAGTTGTTGATGTATGTGAGAAATAAGTACTGTTTTAATACAACCTTTCCAAAAAACTGGATTTGCCCCTGTGGGCGGTTAGGCTGTTTTTTCTATATGCATGGAGGGATTTAAGTTTTAACCCTGATGTAAAGATTCACTACCTTAAGATGTAGTGCTTTATAATGAACAAGGTCTATAGATTAAAGGTCAAGGTCACACTTCCACATGTGTGGTAAGATCTTAGTAGAACTTGAGAAAAATATTCACTATCAGACTGATGTAGTGTTCCAAGTATAAGGTCAAAGGTCAAGGTCACTGTTAGAGGTCAGTCAGAGGAAAACACTTGTCAAATATTCTATAACATGGCCCAAAAAGTCAACAATGCAAGGCATTGTGTTGAGTGCAAAATTCATGCCATCTGTGGTCATGGTCATAGTCAGATGCAGAAGTTCAGGTCATATAAAAAAAAGGAAAATTTTAGTATTGACCTCTTAGTCTTCATGAAATTAGGCATTTTAATGTAAGTACACATGTACTATTATAAGTGATATATCATTTGTGATGGGCCTGTCTTATGACAATGGCTTATTATTTTATTAGTTACAAAGATATGGCCCTATATAAACTGTTGTTTGTATAGTGGTGAGTGTTATATTGCAAACAACCATTTTTATACGGCCATATAACCTGTCAGAAATACCTTTTTGACCTGTATAAAGCCAGGCCAGCTTGCTTTTCAAAAATATTATATTTTGTATAAATCAAGAATCTGCATTTGATGGCTTTAACTGTTTACCTAATGAAATAATAAAGATATACATGTATAGGAAATATATAATACTATTATGTTATGACTGTGATATGTATTTGTATATAGGGAAGCTGTCCACCATTAAGAATGCAGAAACGTGAACATGTAAAAGTACGCATTATTGGATTTAGAGATCACAAGTCAAAGGCGTAAGTAAATTAGTTAATTTAAAAATTACACATCTAAGGTCCTCAGATTCGCAGTAATATAAGGACAAAGAAGTATTCTTACTTAGATTATATTCATAGAGGTGATATTATTTTGTTAAGCCTCAATATCCTTGATAGCAACTACTTGATTGCTATTAAAATTTTCTGGGGAAAAAATTTGGATAAATCATGATATCAATTTTGAAACTTACATATACATGTATTTATTATTATACTCGAACATAATTTGATGGCAAACCAAACAACACAGTAATTTCATGGGGAAAAATATAGTTCATAATGAAAGGGAATAACTCAGTCAACTGTTTTGTTTGTTTGTTTTGTTTGGTTTTTTTTTTCATAAAAAGTTGAACAACAACAATCAAAATGGTGTTTGCAATTTCATACATAATAATTTGTATCAAGTGTTGACTGATCCATTTTAGACATATGTATACAGTGATGGTACTATCAGATATGTTTCCTGTAAAAACTTGGGTGCTATGTTAAAGTTACGGAAATGTGAATTATATTGGGGAGCCAATAACAACTGCAAGTGCATTGTTGTTAAGTTATTCTAGCATCCATCATTTATATTACAGGTATTTGCCAATATCGCACCCAAAAACAAAGAATGCTATGCCAGATTGTTCGATGAAGCCGAGTGTTCTTGCTCTAGACAAACTTCCAGATGATTATATCTGTTCAGGTGACAAATATAGCATAGGGGAAAAAGTAGTAGCTTCTGTGATTACGGTAAGTTGAAAGTTATGATAAGATAATTTACATTTACCCTCATGGGCATGTTCATCTTTCAAACTGGACAAAACCATTTATGATTTTTAGGGAAAATTGAAAAAAAATTCTACTCATTAATCAAACAGTGCAGACCATGATCACACATGATGTGCCGATTTATATTGTGCGATCTTAATATTTTAAATGGGCATGTTCATCTTTCAAATCTGGACAAAACCATTTATGATTTTTAGGGAAAATTGAAAAAAACATTCTGTGCATTGATTATTTCCCAGAAAGCTTTTATTGAATATGCAATTGATCACTTCCATTTTTAGCTTGACTATACGAAGAATAGGTAGAGCTTTTGTACTCTCCAGTGTGTTAACATCTACATTACACTGAGGTTAAGTTTTTACATGTAAATTGATATCTTCAAAACTTCTGAAGGACATGGGTTGAACTTTGCACACTTATTTGAGAGCGTATTGGGTACTCGTTATCTAAGACCCATAACTCTAACATGGATTTTGACAGAATTGTGACCTTTTTTTGAACTTTGAAAATTCTACATTATCCAGACACTCGTTAACTATCAAGAACTGAGAAAAGTCAAGCATGCGGTCCTAATGTCAACTCTTGTTTATCTTCTTTGTTAAACACCTATAATTTAACTGCATTTAAATATGGCTTTCAGTATGTTAAAGATCATTTTATTTTCTTCTTTGTATTATTACTTTTCTCTTTTGTCCTATTCAGTTTGAATCTACAATGTTTTTTGTTTTTTTTGTTCATTACAGTTTTCTAATGGCTACCTACATACAAAGATATCACCACGTGTTCGAGGCAGAGTTTATCTTCTCAATTTGTCTACAAGTTTAGAAGTAAATTATGTTTTAATTTTTTATGTTTATAGAAAACAAATTAAATGGCATAGAATATTAGTATTTGTTAACTTGCAGAACACAAAGTTGTTTTTTTACATTGTTTATAAACTTATAGTTGCTATTTTAAATCTCTGCCAAGGCAGGTTATTTTATGTACTTGCATGTTTCAGTTTGCTGAAGCTAAAAAATTTTAACATAAGATAAGACGAGATAAGACAATAAAAGCAGGGTGGAAATTGTTAGGCCTCTGTGGCCGACTGGTAGACGACTGACTTCAAATCATTTGCCTCTCACAACTGTGTGTTCAAATCCCATAAGGGAATTTGGATTTTTTCATGTGTTTAAGCTACCCAGCTAGGTTACTAAAGGTTGGTGGTTCTACATGGGTGCCCACTCGTCCCTGAAATAATTCACAAAGGGGCACCTGAGGTTTTCTTCAGGTGGAAAGTTCCTAGATGACTTATAAAGTGTCTATGCAAACAAATCAGAGTAATTTATTGCATACTTTACTTTTATATTTAATTGTCAGGTAATAGAACTGTTCACTTATTAGGAGAGAAAATGTGTGAGTCAAAAATCTAAATGGGTAGAGTCCTAAAACAGTATTCAAAAAACTGGGTCAAGTCTTATTGAGGCTGAACATTTTTCTCACCATGTGACATTTGGCGCCAACAGGGGACATGATCATATATATATATAGCTACAAGTCAAATTTCATTGTTCTTGTTGCTCATTAGAAATATGCAGACATATCAGTATCAGTGGGGAAGTGTGTCACAATATTGTATAAAACTGTTCACTAACTAGGGGAGAAATGCTGATGGTGAGCTCAATTGGAAGAGTCATTGGTCTGGTATTCGTTTTTCACATTTTTCTCTCCCTGTGATAAAACTAAAGATTTCTGTTGTTACAGATGTTAAGAAACCCAACTAAACATTTCAAGAATGGTCAGGTATACAATGCAACTGTTATACAAAAGGTGTCATCTGGTGAAGTTGAATTATCGTTTCTAGGTAAAATTATTAAAAATTTTATGTTGTTGATCTTATTCTTTTGCAAGTTTTTAACTCTATATAAAAGTGGATTTCTAGTTTATTATTGTGACATATACTATATCAGTGTGATTTTAAATTTGGCTATTAAAAAAAAACAACAAAAACATGCACATAGATTTATTTTATAATTCATTGAAAAAAGGTTGTTTCTTCAAGACGTTCATTTATTTTCCAAATTTTTCAGAGGCTCCTCTCAAAGAGTTATGTCCTGGTGTTGAGGTGCGGGCAGTTGTGTTTTGTGTAACAAAAAGTTTTGGGATGGTGGTTCGGCTGACTGATAATATACGAGGCACGTTAGACATAACTGACATGTCAGATAACTATGAAAACCTCCCTCTACAAGGATACAAGAAAGGGGACATAGTGACTGTACGCATTCTGAAAGTAGATAAATTCAACAAACAAGCTGTTGTTACCATGAGGTTAGTGTATGTAAAAAAGCAAATGTAGGTTTTATCCTTAATTTATATGGGTTAATTTATATTGGCTGTAACTAAGAAACATAGTATCTGTCAAGTGCTTACGATTGTCTACTGAAATTTCACAATTTGAAGTTATGCCCATCCCCTGAAGGCAAAAATAGGTTTGCTTTAGGTATGACTTGCATTTCCTAGAATTGTAATGGAAATAGCTTTTAAAAGAAGTCCACTGAAAATAAATTGCTCAACATTTTGATATTGTGTATGTAATCTAATGGGCATCTCATAACTTTATAATTAAATCAGGATCAAATAAAACCTTGTGCCACTTTCATTAATTGATATTTAGCAATTTAAAATGTTCAAGTCCATCATTCAGATATACCATTGTAACAGTTGTAACATTGACTAGAATGTTTTCTATATTACAGGCCTGATGAGACTAACAATAAGCCAGTAGACCGGAGGATAGAACGTATGGCTGATTTGAAGATAGGAGAGTTTATCCGAGGCTATGTAGTGGCAGTGGCCAACAAGGGTATAACAGTAAGGTATGTTGTGAACAATAATAGATTTATTCTAGGATTTCTTTAAGCAGGACTTTTGACAAAGAATCGTGGCACTACGAGGGTTGTCCAAAAAATTCGTGCACTGCAGTTATTGTTCTGAGAGTTATTAATGAAAAAACATGAATAATATATCACTTGAAAGGGAAATCTGTCTCAAATAAGAAAACAAAAGAAAAAGCCGTGTAACCGGCGTGTCGTAAAAAAGAATTGTCATTAAGTTACCTTAGTAACGTAATACCGGCGCACGACAAAAATTGGGTTAGTTCATTACTTTTATTGTATTAATTTTCTATTGCTTGTAAAGTGGCATTTGCTTTTTATGTCATAATTTGTTTTACTGTCAATAGAGGAATGATTGATGGAAAGTATTATGTAGTTTTTATTGTTCATATGCAACATGTAACATATTCACCAGTGCCCGAATATATTTGACAACCCTAGGCACTTAAGCCGGCATTACGGACGGAGGTCTGCCTGACCGGTTGGCATCGTCTACCCACCCTATACAAAGCGTTTGTGCCATTTAAAAACCAGCCATCGTGACACTGAACTGATGCCGCTTGCTTTTAAAGTTCTTTGTAGGTATATGTTGATGTTTCACCAATACTTGCGCAAAATTGAATGATCGTCTGTATTTCCAGACGTTTAGCGACTGATATTTTCACGTAATTAAGGTATTGACGACCACACAAAAAAGTTTATTTACGACCTTCACAATAAGGCAAATGACGTCATATTTTCAAGTGACACCAGGAATACGTACACACACTTAAAGAATACAGTGATGCATTAAAGTAATGAACTAACCCAATTTTTTGTCGTGCGCCGGTATTACGTTACCAAGGTAACTGTATGACTATTCGTTTTCACGACACGCCGGTTACTCGGCTATTTCTTTTGTTTTCTTATTTGAGACAGATTTGCCCTTCAAGTGATATATAATTCATGTTTTTCTATTAATAACTCTTGCGACAATAACTGCAGTGCACGAATTTGTTGGACAACCCTCGTATTCTAAAGAAACAAAAACACCTGAACTTTTTTACTCTTTTTATTAAGTGCACTAAATTGATGAAATTTTTAAAGAATTAATGGGTATAATTGGGATATTTAATGAACATTTGTTTGTATACGAGAATACAAAAGTTGATGAGAAACCTAAAAAGATAACTAATAAATATTAAGATGCCAAATAACTGGGCATTTGAAATAAAATAATAATGTTCTTAATTGACAGAGGTTGTTAATTTGGTAAACAAACTTGATACATATTAGTGATGTTTTGTTATTTAATTTCAGACTTGGTGTTAAAATGACTGTTGTGTTACCTCCTGATTGTATAGTGAAAGGAAAATATGTCAACTTAGACTTAATGAAGGAAAATTTTGAAATAGACAGTGTCATTAAACTGAAATTTCTTGGGTTTGTATTTAACTACATACATCATTTCCACTAAATCATCTTAACTATTGGTACATGTATTTAAACAATATTTCTGAAACACTGTTTTATGGTCTATAATAATTTTATATGATTGTTCAGGAATACTTTATCATCAATAAATCAAAGCCCTTTGGCAACTTTCATCAGAAGATCACATTTATATACCTATTAGGGAGCACAGCTGCAATAAGTAATAAATTTTTTTCCCACAATTTAGTCTTATAAATAGTTCTGATGTCTCAAACCTTTTGCACAAATCCCTTAACCTTACTTTGTTTTTGAAATCTCAAACAAAATTGTGTGTGTCAGCAGCTTAATACATCAAATGCTATACAAATGGGCATTCAAGGGAAAGCTGACTTGGGTTTCAAACCACTCTGGGGATAATTCTTTAAAGGGTGGAAGCTATCCCATCATCACCATAGCCAACCATTTCACTTTTGTTATAAAGCTCATAGTTGAGCCCAAAGGGTTTTCCTGCTCTATTATAGCTGGTATGTCACCCGGTGATCTTTATAGTATCTTTTTGACATAAAGTAGAAAAAATGAGTATAAAGTATTTTTCTAACAATATTATTCCAGATTTGATGACAGAAATACTGCAAAATGGTCAGTTCATCACGATACAGATTTTCCTGAGGAGTGCCTTTCTGACAGACCGTTCTCTAATGAACCGTTCTCTAATGAAATTAGCAGAAACAGATCCATTTCAAATTCATCAGCTGACTCTGAAGCTACCAAAAGTAAGAGAACTAAACTGAAAAACATGGAAACAGCAAGTGATATTGATGAAACTATTGAACTAGAGATAGGTGGTTTAGAAAGAATGGACGATGGTAACTTAGATGAAAGGGACAGTGTTACAAATAGTTCAGTTGTGAGTGAAGCTACTACAAGTTTGAGTGATTGTTTAGAAGGAAAAATAAACAAAGATTGGGATAGTCTGAATAGATCTGTGTCTGATAGTGATTTCAGCATAGATGCTAGTGATGATGATGATGATAATGATGTGGAAGACAAGGAGGAAGGAGATGATGAGAATGTGATTGATAGTGAATCTAAAGACAATAATAAAAACACAGGGAAAAATAAAAGAACTAGGAAAAAGTCTAGAAGTGAAAATATGTTAGAAGAAACAAAGACTACAGTAAATGCTAGTGAAACCATAGGAGATGATAATGCAAAGTTAGATATTGTAGAAGATTCAGATACAGAAGCAAATCTTCAGATTAAAGAAAGATTAACTAGAAAACTGTCTGAAAAAGCAAAGGAGATTCAGAATGAAGGTTCTAGTGTAGATAAGAGCACCAGAAAGAGGAAGGTACGAGGGGATAGAAAACAGTCCGGATCTGAGAGTGAGTCAACTAGATCAAAGGTTAAAAAGGTGGAAGACTCTGATAGTGAAGATGATGTTAAAATCGTAACCAAGTCTGATTTGCAGGTAAATTTGAAAAATATTTGTTGTTATGTTGTCTAATTACCCTATGTCCTTTGTCTGTAATTTCAGGCTATATAGCATGTAAACTTGCTTGATAATATAGTCTTTAATAGCTATCTATACCTGTAACTTGAAGTGGTGAAAGTTCTTTTGCTAAAAGATATTTATAAAATTTAAATGTAAATATAAAATTTACCCGATTGTATTTGTTCTGATAAAGTTAAATTAATAGAGTTTATTCTTAAGATAAAAAAGTTAAGTTATGTTATTGTAATATAGTATAATTTATTTTGTTTGCTTTAAAAGATATTATTATATAATTTTCTTTAAAAAAGTGTATTCTACAAACTAATTGTGTTTGTTCTATAAACATTAATTAATTGTGTATATATTCAAAAAAGATAAACTTTAGATAACTTTAAGATGATTTCAATCTAACAAAAGAGTTAGATAATTATTTGCTATAATTTTTTTGAAGGTGTCTGAAAAGCCTGTTCTAGATTTAGGACAAGGATTTAGCTGGGATACAGAGTTTAAGTTGCCATCACAGAAACAAGAGGATATTAGTTCTGATGATTCAGCTGATGAGGATTCTCAGGTAAGGCTTAAAGATCCTGTATGTTGTAATTAAGGTTATTACCACACTTAAGTGAAATTTTATATACGATATGTATATAATTATGCTTCTAAAACAATTTTCAAACATCAAAGAATATGTAAAATATGTACTGCAAATATTTGTCCACATTATATGTAATCATTAAAATATATGCATTCATTTCTTATTGAAAAATTTGACTTAGACTTTATAGAAAATAAATTTCTAATTACCTCCCTTTATTAACATGAAATGTAAATTCGGTAATATCTTTACAAATAATGCTTTTTGGAACTTACAATATTGATAAATCTTCATTTGAGCATCATATTTATGATATTAAACCATAAAAAAAATAAGTAACTGGATCTTTAAGAAAGATGGTTGCCTTATATCAGATTTGAAATCCAGAGGTCTCTGATTTGATCTTCGGGCAAATCGTAATTTTTTTGCAACAATTGATGTTGTACCTGGGGTTCGTTTGTCTCCCAATGCTGATACATAGATCATGTAGAAGTTGGTATTCAAGGATTGTCAGTTAGGTGGACTGACTGGCAAGGTGTCACTAGAATTGTGTTAAAATCATCAACATACAAAAATAAAAGAAATTCTGTAGGAAATGATTTAGCTTGATAAGGAAATGTCAAAATTTTGAATAGTTTTTTTAACAATGCAAAGTGTTGGCATGGTCAAATAGTGAACATGTCAGGGGTGGCCAATGTTTCCTTGTGCAAAAAACTTAACATTTACTACTCATTACTGGTTGGTTCCAGGAACAGATTGTAGAATGTATCTATAGGCATATACCTTCATACACAATCAATTTAAAATGAATTAACTAATGTCATATAGATTTATGTCTTACAACATGTTTGAATCATTTTTGTAGAAGCAAGTGAAAAAATCCAAGGAACAAATACGTGAAGAAAAAATAGAAGAAGAAAAAAGAATATATAGGGTGAGTACATACATGTATGTATATGAACGTTTTTCTGTGAGTTTCGAAATACTTATTTTTCATGTTTGCTAAATGGGCAGTTGAGTAAGCATTTCATGATTGGTAATAAAATATAATGTATAGCAAACTTAGGCAGTTGAAATATAGATAACTTTTGTGATGTGTATTTTAGGTCTATAGATATGCTGACAATACTTGGGGAAAAAAAAGAATTTCCAGTTAAAAAAAATAAATATACATTTTACAAATCTACAAACATACATTTGTATCTCAGATTGTATTTATTGCAAGAATAAACAATGGTTACATCAGAAAAAAAACTTTATAGAGAATTAGTAAAGATAAACTGATTTAACATTATGCTTGTATCATAGTTAGGGGACCTTTCTGTTGAAAATGTGTCAGAGTTAAATTGTATACATATACATGTACAGTTTGTTAACTGGAGTGCAGGTATTAGTTACCTACTCTCTAGAGCATGCTCATGGATTGGCTCATTTTTTCTGGGAGTTACTTATTGTGAAGACAGAGAAAGGGAAAGCGATAAATATATCGTATTCAGATGCTTGTTCATTAGTTACTTTTTTATAGGGTGTCATATTGTGACATCAGGGAATGTGTTTTTATTTTTAACCATGATACAATAGAGAAAGAACACCAAAACACTCATCAATCTGAGTTATACTCTGGGGCTATGCCCCCTCGTACAAATCAGATAGTCTTGTGTTTTGATGCTCTTTCTATTACTCATAAAGATGCAAAAATAGAAAGGTGATCTAGAGCATGATATATTACATAAGCATTCAAACATGCTTTTATTTATCAAAAAAGAAATGTCTACTTGAATGTGAAAATAAAATGAAAAAAATGAATTTGTTGACTCTCTTATATTAGTAAAAAAACATCTTATGATAAAATAAATCTGTGAACAAAAATGAAATTGTACTAATTCTAGGTAGAGATGCAACGTTTAGAAGGTGAGATACAACCTGAGACAGCAGACGACTTTGATAGACTGGTTCTACAATCTCCTAACAGTTCTCTTGTCTGGTTACGTTACATGGCTTTCCATTTAGAGACAACAGAAATAGACAAGGCCAGGGCTGTAGCGGAGAGGGCATTGAAAACCATCTCTTTTAGGTACAGTATTTCATTAATATACGTCTAGTGATTTGAAGGAGAAATATACAGCCTAACATTCTCAATCTGGTTTCTCTGTGCTTTTCTTTGCATCCCTATATTAACTGTCATCACTGTTTTGTCTGGACTAAAGAATAGAACAAATATTTGTTCTGTTTTGTACTCTGTACATTATAGCTATATGATAAGGCAGCAGGAAAAAAAAATGCCGGTTTTACTCATAAATGAAAGTTTTTACAAAATTGACATCCTTTTATTTATGGCTGATTTTTGCTTTACGAAAAAAAGATTTATTTTCTGCATTGATGTACTTCTCCAAATTTTTATGTAACCAGTATATCCAGTCTGAAATTGTGTTATTTAGGTTGAGAGACATCTGAAATTTGAGGACATAAATACTTATGTTAATGTATGTTTAATATTTCACAAACATGAGCTGTTTTGTTATAGAGAAGAACAGGAAAAGTTGAATGTTTGGGTGGCATATTTGAACCTAGAGAACATGTATGGTACATCAACAACGGTGACAAAGGTGTTAACTCGTGCAGCACAGCAGAATGATCAGATCACAGTGTATCTACAGATGATCACTATATATGTCAAGTCGGGAAAAAATGAGGTAAGACAGTTGCTATATCAAATCTGGAAAACAATTGTAAAATTTGTATGTTAAGTCTCGAAGAAGAAATGAGAAAATACAGTCTGTTTGTCAAATTTGGAAGAAAAATTAGATAAACAGTTTGCATGTCAAATGTTCGACTGTTCATAAAGTTAAAAATAGCTGCGTACATATTTTAAAGTCTAGCTGATATATCAAATCTGGAAGAAAAATGTTAGGACTGTTGATGAGTTAAGTCTGGAAGAAGAAAAAAAACGAGGTAATACAGTCTGTTTGTTAAATTTGGAAGAAAGATGAGGTAAAACAGTTTGCATGTCAAATGTTTTGGAGAAAAGTCTAGGTTAGGCAGTCATTGTGACTGAATAGTTGATTACAAGTTTAGAAAGCAACAAAAAATATGTAAGATGGTCTAAATGTTAAGCCTAGATAAAACGATATTATATCTGTTAAAGATCGTGTTGATTCAGGTAGAGTAAGTATGGTTTAAAAATAACATACATTTACAAGATATATGCATACAATAAGATTTTAATTAAGCTATAAAAGCAGCTGGTCATTTTGAGATTAATTGTACATAACATTGTTCTTTGTTTTTAGGATGCTGAGCAGTTATTTAACACTCTGGTGAAGAAACACAGTGGTAATAAAGATGTGTGGATCAAGTTTGGAGAGTTCTACTTCCAACAGGGTCGTTTAGAATCTGCTCGTAAACTGTTACAACGATGCCTGAAAAGTCTGGAAATGAGACAACGTAAGATGTTAACAATTTTCTACTAATTACGTCTTGGGCTCTATGTATAAGATATTTGTATTATGCCCATTCAAAGATATAGTAAGTGAACAGGTGAAAGTCAAAATTAGTGTAAATTTTGCCATAATTCCCGTCAGTTTTATAATTTACTTTGCATGAATGATTAATAACTTTCATGGCCCCAGGAATGTCTGTTAATGTTGATCGGAATATACCTCTTAAGTTTGATTTATAAAAAGAGTGTGGCAGTCTTTTTTACATTTTAGGCAGATTTATATTTTATCGTTAACATTTTTCAATATTAACTGTTGATCAATCAACATTATAACAAACTTTTTTGAAATATGTAGTCAATTCAGCTCAACTTGGCAATGAAAAAATGAGCATAATGTCACTTTAATCTTTTTTCTGCTGATGTCCTTTAATGGACTTTTCATGCTTTAAATGAAAACTTGCCTGCTAGTATTTTCAAAGATATCTTAGTTAAAATATAGAAAGTTACAGTCAACAATTGTAGTGTCCTGTAAGTCAGTGCAGGTTATTGTAAAATTGAGGTAATAAATTGTTTTATTTAGATTATTGTAGCAGTTGTATAAATCCTGTTAAAAATAAAATCAGTTAAAAACAACATACAGTATATAAAATAAATATATGTATATGAAATAAAGAGTGCCTTTGAAAATGAATTTATGAAATGCAAAATAATTGTAATTTAATTTTACAACTCACATTTGTTTTGAAAAAACATCATAATAGCCATTTTTGGCTTGTCTGTTTCAAAGGAAAAGTCAAGCTATTAATAAGAATGTGACATTGTCATCATGCAAAATATAAATATATCCCATTATTCAAGCATTTTAAAAGTTATCAGCATTAAACTTGGAATACTTACTTAAAAGAAGTTGTTAGACAAGGGGCATAATTCTGAAAGCTATAATACCTTTAATACTGCAAGCCGTGCTCTTGTTATATGACAGCCTCCTGTACCTGAGGTTATATAATTGTGCATTACAAATGTAGGGGTGATGGGAATGTTTGATTGCACAGGTATCTGTTATATGTAATTGTGTATTTCAGATGTAGATGTAATAGTGAAGTTTGCTCAGATGGAATTTAAGCATGGAGAACCCGAGAGGGGTAAAACTATGTTTGAGAACACATTAAGTACCTACCCAAAACGTACAGACCTCTGGTCAGTTTATATTGATATGGTCACTAAGATTGGAGAATTTGATTCTGCCAGGTAATTTTTTATCTCCAGTTGTTAAATATCAAAAAAACCTGACCTGTATTTACTTAACTATGTTCTTGAAATTCACTACAGATTAGGAATTCTTTCAGAAAATTTTCTACGAAGGTCATTGGTTCTACTTAGTTAGTTGTAGCATATGCTATAGTCCACCTTTTTGTGATCCTATGTCTTTAGAATCTAAAACAAGATACATTGTATTAAAATATATGTTCTCTTTGTCATAATATGAACATTTTTTCTCTGTCTTTGGACAATTTCTTTGGATATTATTTCAGTGAATGCAGAGATTTCGATTACATATAGCTAGCTCTTTGATGTATTGTTAAAACAAGTAACCAACAATTTTGTCAAACAAATGATAATTATTGAAGTTTTATAATTTGTCAACTATTTATAAAGCTACAATGTAATTATTACAATATGGCAATAGTGTGCTCATCGTCGGATACCCATGGTTGATTAATATGTAACATAACATGTAATGTTAGTGGTTTGGCCGTGGGTATCCCACAATGCAGTGTGCTTTACAGTGAATAGAAACATGATGTTTTTAGTAAGCATGGTAAATTGCATAAAATATTATCATCAATACTTGACAGTTGAACCATGCTAATGAAAAAAAAATTATGATTTATGTGTCTGATTTTTTTCCAGATCTATATACAACAGGGTGATTGAACATAAAATGGCTGCAAAGAAAATGAAATTTTTCTTCAAGAAATATCTTCAATTTGAGGAGAGATATGGGTCAGAGGATAATGTTGCTGAAGTAAAGAGGAAGGCATTACAATATGTGGAATCACAGGGGTTTGTGGATGAATGAATAAATGTGTACAGTCTGTGAAAGACCACCAGATTTTGCATAGAAATGAAGTTTTAGGGTTGTTGGTTATTAATGTATAAATTATGAGATTTTGTTGACATAAAGTTTTAACTTGAATGAATTGAAAAATAGATTTAATGTTGACATTTTCATTAGATATTATATAAGAATTTTAAGAAAATGTATGTGATTTGAAGAGCAAAAATTAATTTTATGAATATGTAGATGGTGTGTAATGTTACACTCTTCAGTGAATATATTATATAGTGGTTAATAACGCCCTGCACTACATGAACGAAAGGCTTTGTGACAAAACAGGATGTACAGCATGTCAAATGATGTTGTGTGAATCATATTAAAATTGTATACTGATATAATATTATAAACATGATATTATATCAGGGCAGAACTTTAAACATTTAAAGATAAATGAATGTTTCCTGTAATGTTATTGAAGATACAGAAGTTTTAATGATTGTATATAAGTGTTTATATCTCGGTGGTAAACTTTATTGTTGTCTGTTTATTAGATGATTTAAAACAAAAAGAAGCCAATAAATGAATTATATACAATAATATTGTGTTTTTAATTCATTATTTTAGAGGTGAGGGCATTTCAAATATTTTTTTTAAAACTGTTTTTGTGATATGACTAAATAATAACTTGTCACTACAATAAATGCATATTAGCAACTCCTTTCAGAAGACTTAGTAATTATATAGTGCATCGGATACAAAAATAACAACATTCTCCAAGAAGCAATTGGTTCTTTAACCAGCAAATTAAGAAACAACTGTTTCTTTTACCTACAAATTGAGAAACAACTGGTTCTATTACCTACAAATTGAGAAACAACTGTTTCTTTTACCTACAAATTGAGAAACAACTGGTTCTATTACCTACAAATTGAGAAACAACTGGTTCTATTACCTGCAAATTGAGAAACAACTGGTTCTATTACCTACAAATTGAGAAACAACTGGTTCTATTACCTACAAATTGAGAAACAACAAGTTCTATTACCTACAAATTGAGAAACAACTGGTTCTATTACCTACAAATTGAGAAACAATACCTGCAAATTGAGAAACAACTGGTTCTATTACCTGCAAATTGAGAAACAACTGGTTCTTTTACCTGCAAATTGAGAAACAACTGGTTCTATTACCTGCAAATTGAGAAACAACTGGTTCTATTACCTGCAAATTGAGAAACAACTGGTTCTATTACCTGCAAATTGAGAAACAACTGGTTGTTTTACCTGCAAATTGAGAAACAACAGGTTCTATTACCTGCAAATTGAGAAACAACTGGTTCTATTACCTACAAATTGAGAAACAACTGGTTCTATTACCTGCAAATTGAGAAACAACTGGTTCTATTACCTGCAAATTGAGAAACAACTGGTTGTTTTACCTGCAAATTGAGAAACAACTGGTGTTTTTTACCTGCAAATTGAGAAACAACAGGTTTCTATTACCTGCAAATTGAGAAACAACTGGTTTCTATTACCTGCAAATTGAAGAAACAACTGGTTGTTTTAACTGCAAATTGAGAAACAACAGGTTCTATTACCTATAAATTGAGAAACAACTGGTTCTTTTACCTACAAATTGAGAAACAACTGGTTCTATTACCTGCAAATTGAGAAACAACTGGTTCTATTACCTGCAAATTGAGAAACAACTGGTTGTTTTACCTGCAAATTGAGAAACAACAGGTTCTTTTACCTACAAATTGAGAAACAACTGGTTCTATTACCTGCAAATTGAGAAACAACTGGTTCTTTTACCTGCAAATTGAGAAACAACTGGTTGTTTTACCAGCAAATTGAGAAACAATGATTCTTTTACCTGCAAATTGAGAAACAACTGGTTGTTTTACCAGCAAAAATTTGAGAAACAATTGATTCTTTTACCTGCAAATTGAAAAACAACTGGTTGTTTTACCAGCAAATTGAGAAACAATTGGTTCTTTTACCTGCAAATTGAAAAACACCTGGTTTTTTATGTGCAGATTTAGAAACAACGGTACTTTTACCTGCCAATTGAGAAACAACTGGTTCTTTTACCAGAAATTGATAACACCTGGTTCTCTACCTGGACATTGAGAAACAACTGGTTCTTTTACCTACAAATTGAGAAATAACTGTTTCTCTTACCTGCACATTGAGAAACAACTGGTTCTTTGACCTTCAAATTGAGAAACACCTGGTGCTTTTACCTGCAAATTGAGAACAACACTGGTTGTTTTACCTGAAATGGAACAGAACAAATTTATTACGCAATTAGATTAACAGACTTTCTATACCTTATAAATGAAAACAATAATTACTAATTACTGCAAATTGATAAACAATGGGTTCATATTCCCTTTGCAATTGAGAACAATAACTGTGTCTTTACACGCAAATTTGGAAACAACAGTTTAGTTATGCAAATTGCGAAACAAACTGTTCAATAAAAAATTATTTAACATGTTATGCTCAAAGTTCAAATTCTATTTATGATATAATTTGAATGGGTGTAAACCACAAGACGATTTTCACAGCCAGTGTAATTACTAAAATATTACCTTCGTATTACATTAACAATACAATAGAAAATATTTGAAGGGAAACCTATTCATGAACTATCTTGTGTAAGATCAAGGAAGATAATAAAACGATCATATTTCTTCTTGACTATTGAATGTAAGGATATTTGAATTGTGAAAAATACATTATAATATAAATGGAAAAGTGTCCTTGACCACAAAAACTTGTACATATTTTTTCCTTATTTTCAGTAACTGAAATTAATTTACAGTAAACACTTGTTAGGGGTAAATATCTTGAAAAAGAGGGATCCCTCGGAAACATAAAAACAGCAAAATTATATGAAAATTGCAGACTCGGTTTGAATGAGTCTGTATATTAGGGATAATGAAAAAATGCAACATCCTTACGTCCCCTAGCACCGACTTGAGCAGTACTTCATTCTTTGGAAGTCGAAAAATGTTTTGGTTGTTAAGTGACATAATGCTCATTTTTTCATTGTCATTTTTAGCTGAATTGACTATATATTTCAAAAGATTAGTTGATAATGGAAAAAATGAAAAAAAATATAAATCTGCCAAAAATATAAAAAGATTCTGACCCTCTCTTTTTATAAACTAGACCCACGTTGCAGTTGAGTTCCGATTGATATTTACATAAATTTACTTGGGTCACGTGAGTAATATCGTTCATACAAAGTAAATTAATAAATTATAATGAAATATGGCAAAATAAAAACTTATTTTTACTTTCACCTGTTAACTCACTATATACTCTTCGGTGGGCATAACGTCACTTTAACTTAGGGCTAGTTATAGAAAGCGGCGTTTCAGTGTACAACATGATAACCCCAAAATAAACTTCCTAAATTCATGATTTTTTTATGCTGAGAAGTCCAGGTGAGCTGAGCTGTTGTAATTTGTTTTTTATTATTATTAATTAATTTTACATATCGATAAAGCGATAAAACATGTACAGTATATGTACACAATTTTGTACTCGGAAAAGTCTGGAAATATTTGATAGCAGAAAGCATGCTGTGTTAACCGATTCTAATCTTGAATTAAATTTGTAGATTAAACTGTTAGGCGGAATGTTGATTTATTTGTCTTATCAAAATGATCTTCAGTGTTGCAAATTCTTGAAATTGTACTGATTTTATAAATAGATAAATATTTAAAAGTTTTCCATATTGTGCACATCAACTTTATTTGAAAGACCCTGCATACAGCAAAACCCTCACGGAAAACCACATTTAAAAACATATTACTATAGAAAATCGATTACCATTGCAGCAATCTAATTGTCTTTTTTCCAGTTTTTACTGTATTTGGTGTAAAACGTATAGTAAAAAAGTGTTCATGGATTTTAAAATGCTTTACTTAGAGAAATTAAATTAATTTCAAGTCAATTAAATTTGCATACTTAATCCACATCAATTGTACAACTTCGTCAGAGAAATAAGCACACAAAATATACAACTACTGTACAACTACGCGAGTTAAGAAGCACACTAAATGTACATCAAATGTACAACTACGTGATTAAAGAAGCTCACTAAATGTACATCAAATGTACAACTACGTATGTGAGTTAAAAAGCACACTAAATGTGCATCAAATGTACAACTACGGGAGTTAAAAAGCACACAAAATGTACAAAAACGTGATTTAAGAAGCACACTTAATGTACATCAAATGTGCAACTATGTAAGTTAAGAAGCACACCAAATGTACATCAAATGTAAAACTACGTATGTGAGTTAAGAAGCACACTTAAAGTTCATCAAATGTAAAACTACCTACGTGAGTCAAGAAACACACTAACTGTACATCAAATGTACAACTACGTGAGTAAAGAAGCACACTAAATGTACATCAAATGTAAAACTACGTATGTGAGTTAAGAAGCACACTAAATGTACATCAAATGTAAAACTACGTATGTGAGTAAAGAAGCACACTAAATGTACATCAAATGTAAAACTACGTAAGTGAGTAAAGAAGCACACTAAATGTACATCAAATGTATAACTACGTGAGTTAAAGAGCACACTAAATATACATCAAATGTACAACTACGTCAATTCAATTTGTTAACACGATAATTGGCTAGTTTCACGGTGTCGGGCGGAAAATACTGCATGGGTCGTTGTTATTTCTATCTTTATTTTATATACCTCTCCTTTTCAATACTATGCCATAAAAAAGTTCTGGAGATTATTCTTAACAGCAACGGGATGAAAATAATGAATTGCAAAAAAATAGAACAATTAGATTAATTTTATACAAATAAGTTGCGATAGATTATTGTATGTAAAAAGGAAGAAAACATTCAGCGATCACTTTTCGTATGACGCAAACGTCTATTTTGAAATGATGCGAACTCGCGTGACTTTGATTTAAGTCAGTTACATATACATGTACATACATATACATGTACATTGTACTTTATTTTTCATTCGTTATACATGTACATGCTTTTTAAGAAGTACAGTTAACTGTGTGCTGATAAAAGCACAAGTTACATAGAACTAGGACATCTACTGTACCTAGAGATAATAGTTTTAAATTAAAGTCTAGTCTGTACGTTAAAACTTGCGCTCTTTAAATACCGCTATATCGAAGAACGTGGGTTAAAATTTTAAGCAAATATCGCCCTTTTTAAATGTATACAACTATACGTACGCAGACACTAACACATGCGGCATTCGTCTCAAGGCAATATGATTCAATAAGAAATAGATTTTTGACTGAGATAAAATACATGGTAACATAATGTTGCGACAGCTTGTAGTATAAAATCCATGTTTCACCTATAAACAATCAGAAAAAAGGGACAGCAATTATTTTAATCATAGCTTCTTCTCTTTCTTTTTTTCATTCAATTTATGAAAGGACAAATAACAGCGCTGAATGGAAATTTAAACAATTATATCGATCTTTTTCCAGCCGTGGTTTATCTTTGAAGTGAAATTATCTGTAGGGTAAACACTTCCTTGACTAATAAAAATATAAGTCACGTGATAGCAAGGTGGTTATTTCGGGTAAATAGGAGTCATAAAACCTCACGAAATAATGACACAAGTACTAAAGTAAAGTGAACGCATGGTTGACATTGTGTAGATGTTATATTATTGTACTATTTATTTTAAGAATTTTACTGGGACAGTGTGTACATGTATCAGTGGTCAGTGTGTAGTCACCGAGGACAGGGCGGATTAACTTAACTGTGACATTGGGATTTACGTTTAGTCATTTTTACAGTGTTCAATTTTGCCGAGTTACTGAGGATTACTGGATATAACTAATTGGAAAAAAAGAATTTTGTTGGCACAAAATTGATATAGCCATGCCGTCGCCTTGGCATGACCCGAACAGATCCCCCGTAAATTTGGTGATAAAATACGTTCTGTTTTTCTTCAACTTCCTTATTTTTGTAAGTAAATTTGAATACTTTTGACTAATGTAATTTGTATAATTTTATAATTATGAAACATATTGCTTGTTTGAACCAGGGTCTTTCAAAATTTTGTTGCAGCTTCTTATTCAAATATTTTCAAATTCTGTTTTCTCTTCAAAGAACGTGGAACTTTGTTAAAATCATATATTTAACAGTGTTTGATATGTATTATATATATCTGCTCATCTGTTACTTCCGGGATTAAAAACTTGCTTTAGTACAACCGATCGGGTTTCAAACTTAAAACAAATCTTACTGTTTACTGCCCTTGCCTATGATGTTGTTGGGTTGGTATTTTTTATTTATTTATTTGTTGATTTATTATCTCTTTGAAACCTGACAAGTTCGTACGGTTAGTGTGTTTTTAATTTTCTTTTTAAATTATCCGATATCAGATTGTAATATTATTGAAGTTTTTATGTAATATTAGTCACTGTTAGAGCTATATAGTGAACACTATACACATATAATGAACATTATACACCACATTTTGAAGATTATTTTTCTGTTATGACAGTTGTGAGAAATAAACTGTATACACTGTAATAAGAATACCCTGACGATAATGTATTTATAGGAATCAAGGAAATGAAAATTTATGTGAATTAAATTAGGAAGTAATCCATCAGTTTATTTCAAGTTTGATTCAAAGATTAAACCATACAATTCATATATGTAGAATATTTGTTCATAGTGGTTTTTATTAACTTTTGCATGCCTCCAGATACGCCAAAATATTTCAAGAGATAAAACTTGAGAAAATGTCATCATCATCACATCATCATCTCAAGTAATTGCATCACTCCGCAAGGAGTATACTCGCAAATGTACTAAGATGTCAAGAAAAGTAAAAAGAAAAGGTTCAAGATCCAAGTAATAATTTGCATGTCATGTGCGATTAATGAGACAGATTTTGCAGTATATATCATCATATTTCTACCGTGTGACTAACGCAGTAATGGCTATATTTTAACATTTTTTTGGTAATTCACGTGGATTGTAGTCTTTGTTTTCTTCTCAATATTTTACATTTGAATACATTTTTTTAAAAAAATCATGAAAATTAGAATGAATCTGAAGGCAAGCTGCTTTAAGATGGTAGCAAACAGTTTAATACACGTGAATTCGTGTATATCTATCTCTAAGATTTAATCTATTTTTTTGCAATTTGTTTCCTCGTATAGCTTATATAGTTTACATTAATAGTATATATACATACTTAATTAGTTATACATACTTTAAAATAAGAAGTAATTATATACACTCGTTTAGTTTTATACAACGATGAGTAACTATATACAGCAATTTATGTGTATTATATGTAAATGAGTTGGATATATCGACCAGTGTAAAACATTAAACACATATTTTAGTACATAAAAGGATCTTAGATTTCTTTATTAGAGAATTTTCACAACAGAACACCTAGCTATTGTGTTTCCTTTTCACAACTGCACTGGTTAAGATAGAAACTTCCCTTTCTGTTCACTGTATTATGTTAACAGTGTGGGAATTATTGTGTGAATTATTGAACAGGTTTTTTTTCTGGATCAATTAGTGATGTGTATGGATTTACAGTAAACAATTTAGAATTTTGTGTTTATAAACAGTTAAAGGATTATGGGTAGCCGGGAGTCCGGGTCACCTGTCAACCTGATCACTAAATATGCGCTGTTCTTTCTTAATTTTACACTATTTGTAAGTATAAAGTATGTACAGTGTGTTTTATGCAATTATATTTACTATAATAGAGATTTCGTAGCTTTGTTGAAGTTATATTTATAATCTCGACGTGTAAATAGCTTTACTGCTTGGTTGGATGGTATTCATGAACATGATATTAAAGGAAGTGTCTCTATCAATATTATACATGCACGGCGGGCCGTGACATATCAATTATAAGGTAAATACAGTTACAACAATCTCGGCGGCCACATTACCTGAAATTTGCCTCGCGGGGCTAGTGACTGTCAAACTTGATACCAGGCCACATACCAGCTATACGAAAATTTCCCACAAATTATCTCATCCCATCCTCGTATACACTGTTTTGTAAACCGTGTCGTAGCATGACTCAATAGCATTTTTTGTTTAAAGTCATTATTTTCGTTAACACGGACTTAACGATTCACATTTTTAGCTCGACTATTCGAAGAATATGGGAGAGGTATTATACCCTCCCGGCTTGCCGTTGCCTTCACACTTGTTAAGTTTTATGTGCAAGTTAGTATTATCCCAAAAGAACTGAAGGGAATGAGTTGATACTTCATTTACTTTTTCTCTGTGATTATCTTACATGATGGGCAAAGGTCCCATTACTCGGAGTTACCATTTTACAGAGTAATGTCCCTTTTTACTGACAAACACTAACAACAGTCGAGCGCGCTTCTTTACTTACAGCTCTTGTTATTTATAAATTGCAAAATAATACTTTGACAACACCTCGGTACTAGACCGATTGCACAAAAAACAACAAGTTTTTGTATTTATTTTTGGTTTCATTCATTATCAGTTCTGTGTTGTAGTGTATCAATCATGGACGTTAACTTATACACAGGTTTGACTAAACATTTATTATTTTGATGTTCATACTTTATTCTGTCTTACCTATATGGGCGTGTCTCTGATGGAATTCTGTAAATAGTAGCGTAAACGGTATCCATGAATACAGTATCGGATCATGATATATTGATTCAAACAACAAGAGAAAAAAGGCATTAACCAGATATAATGATTCCCCAGCGTGTGGTTTTTATACCATGTGTAAAGTTAATGTTTAATTATTGCATATGCTCACTCGATACTTCCTACCATCTACACACATATGTTCTCAGCGAACTTAATCAGCAGCAGCTGCACGTGTAAGATAGTATACAGCGGCACGTGCCAATGACACTTGGAAAAGATATACTTGCTTTTGTGTGTTTTATACGCAGAACTAGAGATATGTATATAGCTGTATTTAGAAAGTTTACTGTATGCATGGGCAGTTAAAAGTTATGTATTTTTTGTACCAAGTTTTTTTTTCACTATGTAATGCGATTCACTGTACCAAACGTGAAAATGGCCAAAACTTTACAACCTTATATACATCAACAAACATATTTATTTCAATGATATGTGTGTCTTCTTTCTCATATTTCACGTAGACGCCATTTGAGAAATTTAATGTTGAATGATTCTCCTTTTTGAAGAAAAATAAAAAAAACATGCAATAATGAAAAATGGTCATTTAGAAATTTAGCAGCTAATTATCACCAGCTGAGAAAAGACTTAAGTGGAACGCGTATTTAATTTTTCACATATGTATATTTAACTATACATGCGTATTTAAGCTCTAGTACTTAAAATGTTAAATGCATATATGTATTTAAGTACACTTGTGTGTTTAATTTAGTATCATGTGTATTTTTGAAAGTAAGCATGTATGTTTCAAGTATGTATGTACTATAGTAATCATGTATGCTTATACATAGGTACACAAGTTTAAGAACATTTATATATGTTAAAAAACACACGTGTTTTTAAGTTAACTCACATGTATGTTTCAGAACAAAATATTATGTATGTGGAAAGTTTATTTAAGCACACATATACGCTGATCAAGAACGCTGGCTCTCTAAAATTGAGAACACTTGTATGTTTAAGTATACATATTCATGTATGTATTATATCTAAGTACATAAATTATATATGTTTAAGAACACATCAACGTTAACGTACCGTACGTTTGTTCTTTTAATCGCATAATTATGTATGTTTAACAAATAAGGTCACATGCTCATTGATTGACATTACATTAAACAGGAATCTGTTGAGTCCGGCTTGAGTAAGGTCGTTGATCGTACATCGTGTTCCCTATCATTTAAATATCTATATCAACAGTGGATGGACCTATGACAATATTGAAATGGAAAATTATTTCTCGATCAACTTACATAGATTCTTTTACAATTATATATATTCTTTAATATGATATGTTTCACAGACTTTAAAAAAGCTGTTCAAGCACATTGAAGAAAGTATTGTTAAGTCTGTCAGACAGTATACAAATACGTGTTCAAATTTTAATATACTGTTTGCTTAAGCGTATAGGTTCAGGGTTATTAATTCGACTTAACAGGCATTTATAAAAGTTTGCAAAAAATAAAGAAATAAAGATATATATAATTGTACATTTACGGACTGCATGACTAAATTTAAAAAGCAAATGTTACCTTGCATGGATAGTTGTCCCAATATTTAAATAAAGGAAAATATTGAAAGTGCCGCAATAAAGCTAACGCCACCAGTTTTATAATTAGCACAACATTTTTATAGAGATAAAAAAAGACAAATTATGGAAGATTTATGGCTCCATTATGTAATAAGCCTTCTTGAAGACTGGCCAGATTATTTACAAGTCTAACGACGTAAATGATACATAGCTAGGTTGAATGGATTGGCGGTTCTAAATCAAGACCATTGCATAAAAATCTTCATCGTTCTTCGGGCAGTCAAGAACTGTACAATACATAATACAGCTAAAATTTAGTAAATTGCTCTGATTTGAGTTTTGAATTGCCATTGCTAATTTAAATAATTGAAATACCAAGATTCATGAATTTAGAAGACAACAGTTACAACCAAGGTCTACAATAAATTGAACTATCTTTCAGAGATAACATAATGTGAATATTATTGTCAAGTTAGGTATCCACCTTTATAATGTACCTACATGGATTGATAATTCATCTTTGGTCTATTGTTATTGAAGAAAAGAAGATCAACAAACGTTTATTGTATATAATGTATCATGTTTTACAATGTAAATATTTTCCCAGGTATTTAATGTTTCAAAACCTTCGAAATTTATTAAAATGGACATACTTGTCCCTTTTACACAATACAAATTTGTTAACAAATCAATTAAAATATTAAACACTCGCATTAAGTTTACAAAATGTTTATCAATTGTTTTCACAGTCTATGTGATT